ATCATTATCCTGCTGGTTCTTTAGCTGATTTGTAAGTTGGTCGTATCTTTCTCTGTAATGCGTAGACAAGTTTTATTATAATTAAATTCTTTTCAACAATTGATCTAATGACAGTGCTTGTAAAAGAAAAAAATTTAAAAAGAGGAAAGGAAGGAAAAATAAAAATATATATAAATAAAAAATTATATGCCGATGGTTGCGTGTTTTATCCACCATGTTGCGTCTTTCCGCAACATGTCGTGGAATTACGCAACATGTTGCGGGTTTCCGCTACCGAGTCCGCGGCTGTGTTAATCTACACAGCATATTTTATCCATTACGATAATTTTAGAAATACTTCTTTTAATTTGCATAATATTATATGTCCACGATTTACTTAACAGACTAGGACGATAATTATCAAGCTAAATACAAGTACAAAAGTATACATTTATTATACGACTATCAGAAAAAGACATTATTCATATGTTGTACTGATCAGATTATCGAAGGCCAATGACAAGCGAGGTTTGAAAGTATAAACACGATAAATTTTTGAATATACTTTGATGACTTTTAAATGTACGCGTCAAGTGACACTACAAACCCTTTACGGAAACGTGTACCGCTCTTCCTTCTATTAAAAGAATCTCATAGGATTACTTACTCTCGAGATATGGCGTGTTAGTCATAATCTTGCTTGTCATCTAGCCCTGTCTAAGAAGGAGATTGAAATCAATATGTATATAAAGGACGCCTAACTTTTATGTTGATAAAAGTTCAATTAATTTTTGCAATCTGGTTAATCTTACTTGTCTTTTTCTTAAATTATATCACCGATTTATCATACTGACATCTTAGACACATTGTACTTCCGTATTTTTAGTAAGCCTTAGTCTGTGTTCTTGTAACCTTGTGATATGATAACTAGCACTGACTATCTAAATTGGGTAATTGACTCCTTAATCATTTTTAAGGTATCTATGTCATAGATATGAATTTTTTTAAAGCAACATTATAGCAGATCACCGCATAACATTCCACTTATTTTCACTGTACTTTATGTATATTGGATAACTTAGTCTTTTTTTATCATATGCCGTGTGCAAATTCTCAATTTTATTCCTATATTACATATTTTACGTGATATAATGATTCAATAAATAACATTTTATAATCATAAACGTCGGTATTTGACATTATTTCCACGTGCAGTTTGTGTATTGTCGTATTTTGTTACGATTCACATAAGAATAATTAAGCAAATCGTTTAAATAAATAAATTATCAAATAAAATCAACCTTTGATGTTGCATACTATCATACGCTTGTATACTTCGATACGACTTCTCCTAATACGAGTACATACTTGTATATTAACAATTGTGTGATTGGCCTAAATACGATATACGAATGACAGTTGGATACAGAATGCTATACCACTGAGTTACGATATCACCGATCGATAAGAGAATCTTCTCAGATCAAATCAAGAATTATAAGAAAGAGAAACTTAATATTAATAGTTCTCTCAATGGATTAGATACCCAGAGAGGGAGTAGAACAGCTATTAATATAAATGGTTCATTTACTTATATATTGATATAAGTATATTGCTGATAAAGAGTATAAAGAAATAGTGTATGAATTAATGGATACCTATCTTCTACAACCAAATATACAAAATCGATAAGACATTTTATATTTGGGATCGTATTTTATTCATTACAAAGATAATGAATAAATGATCAACTATTATGTTCTATTGCCAATTACACTTGACAAACAAGATGCCATCTTTATAGTAACCGTTGCATGATCTGATAAATAAGTGTCTCGTAATACTAAAGATTTATTAGAATACTCATGCTCCCGATCCACTGATATGGGACAACATTAACTGGAAACAATTCTAACGAGTAGTATTCATTTGACTCAAGGCGGGAAACAAAGTATAGATCTATTCCAAAACCAGAAAGGTTGACTTATCGTTAAAACCCAGGAGAGTTATGCAATATACAAATGATCAGTTATTTCATAGCAGCAGAGTTCTTTTAGTCTATTTTTTACCTCTAATAAAAGATATACTTTTATCTCATTACTTTTCTATTGTAACTATTCTGTCAAATACCACAAGGTCTATTGCTTTTGAAGATAAGAAAGCATACGTCAATTGAAAACACGATACAAAGAAAAAGTCTTATCGTGTAGCACTGTTGTAAGGTATTGGTATGAAATCTAAAATAAATAGTAAAATAAAGAATAACAGATGTGTTTATAGTGAGAACCAGATTGTGAAATTAGTGAACTTAATTAGAAATGATAATAAAAAGTTATGGTTTTATATAACTTTAGCGAAGAAATTAGTTCAATGCAAAATTCAAAGGGTAATAATATACAACTGAGTCTTTAATTTGATGATTTATGATGTAAGTTATATTCAAGTTCAATTAATAACTTACTATGTTAAATAATTAAAAATTTGAATTTAGATGGAACTTAAAGACAATGTAAGGTGAAGTAATAAAGACTAATTAAAGAAATGTTAAATTGTTATTATGACTTGGGAGTGCTGGCAGTGTGTTTTTGACATGGGGTTTAATAGTTGGAAGTGAGCGTTACGGAACGCAAACTTTGTTTGTTTACTTTTTATGTTATTTTATATAAATACCTGAGAAATTAAGCATGAGTATTTGTTTTCTTATTTTGTGCTAGATTTCGGCAGCCCCGATAAGTCTTATATTTCAATTAATTGATCATTGAGGAGATAGTTTTATTTCCCTGTAACAGTGAGCACCAAATCAGGTTTTGTTTAGGATGATTATATCTTAATTTATGTGTTGTAGTTTTTATGTAAGGAAAATAAATGATAAAAGATATTTTTAATGACAGGTAAAAATAAAATAATCATTATCATAAGACTGGTTAAAGTACGTATGTTTCTTTTCGATAGATCTTTACGGTACAGAATCTTAGATAATATAGAATGTCTCTTATTGCAAAAGTTTTTTAATATTATGCTTAGTGATGGAGTAGATGAGTCTTTACAGTGACTGTTTAAAATAGGCAGGTTTCTTATCACAGATATTTACGCTAGATATAGGATCACTAAATCAAAAAGAATGTTTCCGTAAGGATGCTGTTTATTTGTTTATATTAAAGAGAGATTAAGAAGGCTTTGTAGTGACTGCTTGAAGTATGTAGGCTTCTTATGACAGATGTTTACGCTATAGGATTAATATAATTAAAGGTTTTCGTGAGGATGTTTTCTAATTATATATTACAAAAAAAAAAAAATATATAAAACAAAAACAAAAAAAGCGATGAGCAAGGTAGGCTCTTTAAAAATCAAAGTAAAATTGAGATAAAAGAAGTCTGAAGATTTATTTGAAGAAAAAGAAGGGTACATTTATATGAGTGTTAATGCGTGTAACTTAAACTTTATTTAAAATATAGAAACCAACTACAAATCTGTGAGTAGGGGATAAACTAAAATTAATATGACTTTCTTACCAATTCCTATTGTTGGTTAAAATTTAATAGTTTGAATCAAACTTCTAAATTGAAAGAAAGAACAGGAATCGGGGAAATCGAGCTTTGGCTATTGTAGGGTACGAAATTGGAATTGAGATTTTTACACTCAGGGAAAATTGGCATTTTCAATGTTTAGATATTTTGTGGTTCATGAAATAGGAATTTTGGTAAAGTCTCTGCAGACTGGACTCTTACATTGTTTTTGGTGCCTTCTTTATAGAAAAACGGGTGAAAGACAGTAAAAAAGAATGAGGGGAGTTTGGGGAAAAAACCAAAGAAAGGGAAAAAGGTAGTGTAACAATACCAAAGGCTTCATGAACAAGGTACGCTTCTTGACACCCTGTTACGCTCACCGTATTAACTTAATAAATTTTCTTAAAATCAAACATGTTATATAAGTATTTTAATACATGTTTATTAAACTACAAAATTCGATTTTGCAATGTTATTCGTTTTTTTAATGATCGGCATACGTAAAAACTTTTAATAGGACAGACAGTATCGATCCAAAACACGATTAGACTGGTAATAGGTTTTGAGGGTGTGATATCTACCCTTAGAGTAGAAGGTATGTCTCGTTTTTAGCGGGATTTGCCATGATTTTTTTTTTTTTTTTTTTTTTTTTTTGTATCAGGACATATTAAAAATGAGATGGCGAAAGCAATTACTGACCTAAAGAGGTTTTTTTTTGAAAAAAAAAATAGGAGGGGGGAGGGAGGGTATTTGCTGTTTTATGTTCTTTTGATTGCTAAGAGACTATATTGTACCTATCGGACTATGATCCTATTTTGCATTTGCACTAAATACCTGATATCCAGCTTTTTTAATCATGGTATGAACACTGCGCCATGATCGAGTAGACAAAGAATGTTGCTGTACTACTTGTCTTATGGATAGCTAAATTTCCCGTAGTCACAAGTTTCTTTACTATTTTTAAAAGTTAGAACTAAAGATATACATTTAAAAATGAAGTGATAGTCATGAACAAATAGATACTGAACTATTTATATTTGGATCGTTACTATTTTCTCCCACGTTCTCCGTTGATCTTAACCTTCGGTATATGAGAGTAAAATCCAAACGAGACATTGAAAGTAAGCCACGACGACGCAGACAGAATTGTGATATGTTTATTGCAATATATTTTCATTCAGCCTATGGGACATAAGTTGCTCTCTTGGTGTCACTAGGATATTTGATCCCATATTATGACTACTCGCACCCTGGTTGTCCTTAAGAAAAATTGGTTGTCCCAAAGATGTGCTTGCAAAACCCGGCTATAATTTTATTTAAGGTTTGGATCTAACTTTAACACGAACAATTTACGGTGACTTTTTATGAATCACCTTTCTTTTTTTAATCCAAATAGCATCTGACATTCTGTTTTAAGGAAGCAATTTCTGTACACTATGACTCACCGTGGCTACTTGTGTGATCCTTTTTTTCTTTCTGAACATGGTCTGTAAGAGTATGGTTTTAGCGCCGGTGACGGTTTTTAGCTGAGTCAATAATTTTTAGATTTTTTTTTCGACAACCCTTCTTCCGTTGGGGATGGCTTCCTTTCCTTTCTTTTTTTTTCCTGAAAAAAACAAAGCTATTATAAAATGTCAGCTCCCGCTCAGGATCCCGTAGAAGACATCACCCAAAAGGTCGAGGAACTTTTCTTTGAGTATGTGAAACCACGATAATACGTCAAATGTTCGTTCTCATGTTTTTCCTATTTTAACAGTGATGCCGGTAAGCCCATCACCAAGAAAGCTTTCAAGAAACTCCAAAAAGATAAGGAGAAGGCCGAAAAGAAGGCTGCTACTGCTGCCAAGATTGCTGCTGAAAAAGCTGAAAGAGACGCCGCTAATGTCGTAAGTTTTTTTTTTTCTTTCGCTGTGTTTACGAGAAACGCGGTTATTGACGTCCCATATTAGGATTATTCTACCGACCGTTACGGAAAGCTCCCCATGAATCAATCTCAAACTCGCACAGGTAAGGAACGATAAAAAAAAAGGTGGGAATAGTGTGATTTATGGTATGTGTATGGTTAGGTACCAAGTACGAGGATATTGATACAATTGACGCCTCTCGTGCCGGTGAAACTGTCACTGTCCGTGTTCGTGTCCAAACCTCTCGTGCCACCGGTGGTAAGATGTGCTTCTTCGTTTTCCGTCAAAATGTTTCTACCATTCAAGGTATCATTACTGTTGATGAGGAGCATATTTCCAAGCAAATGGTCAAGTTCTGTGTTGGTATCTCTGCGGAATCCATTGTTTTAGTTCAAGGTAAGATCGTTAAGCCTGTTGAGGAAGTAAAGAGCTGTACCGTTAGCTGTGCCGAACTTGCGATTGAAAAGATCCATATTGTTTCTGATGTCAATGTCCGTCTTGCTTTCTCTTTGGATGATGCCACTCGCCCCGAGTCTTCTTATGATGAAGATTCTCAACTTGCTCGTGTCAACCTTGATACCCGTCTCAACAACCGTGTGCTTGATCTTCGTACCACCACCAATCACGCTATTTTCCGTTTACAATCTGCTGTTTGTTTGCTTTTCAGAGAGTTCTTGACCGAACGTGGTTTCATGGAAATTCACACACCCAAGTTGATTGGTGCTGCCTCCGAAGGTGGTTCCAATGTCTTCAAGGTTAACTACTTCAAGACCAATGCTTTCTTGGCACAGTCTCCCCAACTTTACAAGCAAATGTGTATTGCTGCTGATTTTGGTAAGGTGTTTGAAATTGCTCCTGTCTTCCGTGCTGAAGATTCCAACACCCATCGTCACATGACTGAATTCATGGGTCTCGATATGGAAATGGCTTTCAATGAGCATTATCATGAAGTCTTGGAAGTTTTGGAAGAGCTCATTGTTTACTTATTGTCCAACCTTAAGTCTCGTTATGCCAACGAAATTGAAATTATCAAGAAGCAATATGAATTCGAAGATTTCGAGTTCTTGCCCAAGACTCTTCGTCTTCCTTTCAAGGAAGGTGTCAAGATGTTACAAGAAGCTGGTGTTGAAGTTGGTGAATTCGAAGATTTGAGCACTGCCAATGAAAAGTTCTTAGGTAAGCTCGTGAAGGAAAAGTATCACACCGATTTCTATGTTCTCGATAAATTCCCCTTGGCCATTCGTCCTTTCTATACCATGCCTGATCCCGAGAACCCTGGTTACTCCAACTCTTATGATTTCTTCTTGCGTGGTGAGGAAATTTTATCCGGTGCCCAACGTATCCATGATGCTGATTACTTGACCGAACGTGCAAAGGCTCATGAAGTTGATATTTCTACCATTCAACCTTATATTGATGCTTTCAAGATTGGTGCCCCTCCTCATGCTGGTGGTGGTATTGGTTTAGAACGTGTTGTTATGCTTTTCCTTGGTCTCGGTAACATTCGTCGTTCAAGCTTGTTCCCTCGTGACCCCAAGCGTCTCGAACCTTAAATAGTTTAATTCGTTAAAAAAAATAACTTTTTTGTATAAAATGTAATATGACAATGTGCTTTTTTTTTTATTTTTTTATTTTTAATATAATAACTAATTACAAAAGAAAAGACTCTATGATCTTCTTTTCTTTGATTTACCGGTCCTCTTCTTATTTCTTGCGTTTGAGAATTGGTTACTTCCTGTACGCTCACCATCAAATAATCCATGGAAGTTATCTCCATCATTATCATCATCGCCATCACCTCTGACACGCTTATTTCCGCCTTCATAGACTTCGCCCTTATTCTTCTTACGGTTAAGAACATTACGATAGCGTTCATTTTCTTGCTCTTCGACATTTTCTAATCCGATCAAATTGGAGAAATCGTTCAAGTTCTAATAAAATCATGTCAGTACAAAATGCAATACATAGAAAAACAATAGCGACTTACATCAAATTCACTCTCGAAACGCATCTTCTTATTAGAGTTCAATCTTTGCTTTTCCTTACGAGTAACAGCAAGACGAACATAATTATCTTCTTCGTAACGATCCTTTTCGGCGATGAGGCCATCGATTTTATCACCATAACCTGTGCCTTCATTTACACCACCAAACACACCGATCTCTTCAGGGTTCTCAGACATTTCGGTCATGAGATCCTTCATCAAACGGGATCTGGATGCCTTTTCCTTCATACGAGCATCGTCTCTTTCCTTCTTTCCACTCTTTCTACCGGCGTTTTCATCGTAATTGACTGGTGCGAGCTTAGGTGGTCTGTAAACGCCTGCGGCATTGGTATCTTCATCATCCTCTTCATCCTCATCATCGTTATCCTTATTGAGTAGGTTCAATGGATTGGGCTTGAATGCAAGAGGGTCTGCGGCCACTGCTTGTGAAGTAGTGATAGCTGCCTTTTCTTCATTCTTTTGTGTGGTTTCGACAACAGCTGCTCTAACCAATTTGTCGATTTGATATTTAAGTTTGTTTTCAATAGGTTTCATTTTATCGAGAATGACTCTGAGCTCGACTAATGATTCAATCACTGGACTGTTTTCGATTTGCTTTCCAGAAATTTTAAGATGAACAAAATATGCGAGTTGGAGAATATATTGAAGCATAACTTGATATTTTACTTCAAGGAAAGATACACCCTTTGAAGTTTCAACTTTTTTGTCATCAATTCTACCAAATGTTAGCAAGACAGTCGTTATTTTCTTATGTTCAGTGCTTACTTTTGTTTGAGTGGTTTTAATTGGTTCTTCATGTCAATAATCTTTGCTTTAAGATCTTTAATAAGCTTAGTAAACTCGACAGTTTCTATAAATAAATATGAGTGTCTTTTTCTTTCTACACCAGGTAATAAAAAACACACACCGTCAACGGTGCTCTTCTCGGCTCCGTTTTCAACAGGCTTCTCCATTGTTGCAGCTACAGCCATGATCGATTTGATTATATACGAAACAGGTTCGAAAAAAAAAAAAAAAAAAAAAAAAAAAAGGGCTCCGGGTTTGGACTATAATGAAAAAAATGAAGGATTACCAGTCACAGTTGCTGAATCAGATTTTCCTTGTTTTAAACCAGAATACGTTGAGCGAGTGACAAACAGTTGTTTTCACTAACACCAAGAATAAATTTTAATTAATTAATTCCAGATACAATAATGAAACAGCACCACTGCTTGAGTAGTCTGTACTAATTTCTATTTGAAAAGCATGAAAGTGTGAGTAATCCCGTCACCACCGGCGAATTGAAAACCGACTCAAACATTAATTGAAAGAAATGTGGATTCGAAGAGTCTCTGTATGGCATTGACGTGTGCCATTTGTATGTATATCTGATACATACTGCTAAAGCCTCTTCATCCGATATACCTACATGTTTGGGCTCACTTTTACGAACCGGAAAACTGTTGGATTGGACTTAGCTGAGGTTTATAATAGGGAGTGATCCTAATGTAGCCATATTTGTTCCTTTCGATAGCTTTATATGTTTGCTATAGGTGGTCGCATTGTTTGTGACGAGATATTGATCAATAACTCTCTTACATTGATCCCTTTTGTCCCCCTTGTTAGCAAAAGGTTAAAATGATTCGCTGTAATCCCTTATTTTTGACATTGACAAATATAACACGATCTTCCAACCTTATTTTATAAATTGCATCTCTTGAGTGTCGACAATTTCTCTTTTTTAACTTGCCTAAGGTATTCAATTTATTTATTGACTAACATCGCCATGTACACGGTCTTATAAAGTGGAAGTTTGTATCATGTGTAAGGATCCCTTTTGTGTTTACTAGGAAGCTCCGTGTAATTTCTGTTAGTTTGATAAACAACTTTTGTTTTTGTCGCATAATTACTCATATACATTGTTCGATATTAGTAGTATTTTTTCGATTATTTTTATTATGGGCGACAAATACTCACGATGAAGTTATGAAATTTACATGGTAACAATATGATGGATTTGGATAGGCATGCCTCTCTCATCCCCTTCTGTAGATTGAGATTGATAAAGCCGTTGTCAAAAATTTTACTTCGTCCGTGTTATTTACCAGGTTAAACGGAAAGAAGACAACGAGTGACTGACGAGTTTCTGAGACAACCCGGTGCTTTTTACCTATCATGCAAAGATAACTTTTAACTCAAAGAAAGCAGTTTTATTTCATTTTTACAAAACATTTAAATATAATATGATATCCGTTTAATATCACAAAATACGCGAGACATCCACACGACAACATTTTACTTTCTTTCTTTTTATGTATGTTAAACTCGTGGTTGTACTGTATCACTACTATTAGTGCTTGGAAGATTGTATCAAAGTTTGATGCATTTTCGGTAAAATCAAATTTTATAAATGTATTTGGATATCTTGATGTTAACACAAAATAACAAGGGTCATTAAGATCTGCGGATATGGGAAGTCACATCGGCATTGGTTAAGATACCTATCGACATACATTATTTTATAGCAAAAGGTGGTGATATGAAGGCAAAATGTGGTGATTTGGGGACAAAAAGTGGTGAAAGGCAATAGGTGGTGATGTGGAGGCAAAAAAGTGCTAATTTGAAGGCAGTAATCAAAGGGAAAATATTATCCGTTTTGATTGACAGAGGAAAAACGATATTAAAAATAGGTCATATAAAAGCATTCATTTATACATATAGTTATAATCAACCAAGATGGAAATCTGGTCAGTCTTTGAGATAAAGTCTTTTTGAGATAGGTTTACTTGATATTTTTTTGTCAAACGGCTTGTAAGATGTATGACTTTATCTATTTCAAGAAAAAGCCGCTCCAAGTATTTATCTCCTTTCAAAAAGCCTCTACTTTTTTAAATAAGAAGCCTTATTAGCATAAGAAAAAGGCAAATAATAAGAGTAAATACACGCGGTTAAGACAACATCGCCCCACACTGTTTTTTAAAAGGGAAAGGGATAAATGCACAGGAAGCTAAAGGAATGGTTTGACCTTCAGCAAACTCCAGGACTCCTGCTTGCGCTATTGCGCCTTCAGATATGTAACTATTAAAGAAGAAAAAGAAAAGTTTCCTCTTTCTTATATGTATATATGTGAGAGAGCCATGACATAGTAGCTCAAAACAAATATACAAAGGTGGCCAATCGTTTTATTTTTTCTCCTACGGAACTAATATATGGAAATAGCGTAATTAAGCTAATTGTGTGTTTCCCCTTTTAAGCTTTCACCAATTGTATAAACTGCATGATCAAAGCAAAAAATGTCAGTAAAATATTTATTTTCAGATGCAGCAGAAAAAAATAAAAAGCTCATTTTATTTCAATAGATTATTTTAAATGACTATCTAGTAGTTTAATTGTCACAATTAACCTGAGAGGGTATTACCTTGTGCCGAAGGAGCTGAGTTTTTTTTTTCTTTGCGGGTAATGAGAGGGAAATGAAATTGTTCGCGATGACAGCTTTTTAGAGCAAAAAGATAAATAAAAGGTAAACAAGAAAAGAAAAGAAAAGAAAAAACAAAGCACGGACATAATTACAAAAACAAGTTACAGAATAAGGCCGAGAGATTTCGATTAGGCTTTAATTTTTTTGATTACATTTAATTCTTGTACGATGTTACCAATATATCTTTTTTTGCTATCCGTCACCTTTAATTAATGTTCAATACTAAAGTTTGTTCTTTTTTTCTTTACACCTTTTTTATTTTTATTTTTGTTTATTTTCTGCTGCTATTTTATACATTCCTTCATCTCACATTTTTCTAATCCCTCATCATCCCAATTAAAAAACAATTCACATTGACAATGTCTTTGTTCTCTAAGCTATCAAAGAACAATGATAAAACACTTTATCCATGGTCACAAAAAAAATTAGGCGGTAGTAATAGTGCGTTACCAAGAGTAGGCCATGCCGCTGCCGCTGTTTCATTAGACGCCTTCATCATTTATGGCGGTATCCACAGAACCTCAACAAAGAAGGAACTCTTCTCGATCGATGCCAGTAAATAAATGATTTGATTTTCCTCATCTGTCATTTTTGTATTCACAATTTATTTAGATAGTCATTCAGCAAATAGTATCAATGCCTCGGGCGATCTCCCTAGCTCGAGAATCTCGCCTGTCATCGTAGCGATGAATGGATATGTGCTGCGTATGTATCCTATTGTAAAGAATTTAGATGATTCAGTTAACCTCTTTTTTAATTTAATTATGGTTAGTTTATGGCGGAAAACCACTCGTTCCTGACGAAAAGTATGATGGAGGTTTCTATCTTTTAAATTTACGTAGGTTGTGTAAAAGAGTTTTCCTTTTTGTTGTGATGTGCTAAATATTTATCTGTAGATTCTAAACAGTGGACTCGTATACAAATGGAAGGAAATCATCCTGTAGAGAGATCAGGACATTCTGCTGTTGCACATGATGGAATCATGTATATATGGGGTGGTCAAAACGAAGGAAACTATTTTAATGATTTATTTATATTCAATTCCAGCACATGTAAGTATCCAAATCAAGCCCAGCATTCTTTTATTTAAATTGTCTATTTTATTCGTATAGTCAAGACAACACCTACATGGGAGAAACTAAACTACAATAACGATGGCCCTGAACCTAGATCAGGTCATATCTCGGCAATTTATGAGAATAAACTCTACATGTAAGTCCATATTTGAAAACGTATTTAGGAGTCACCTCGTGGCCGCGTTACACCAACTTAAATGATGTCTAACCGTATTATTTTTTTGCCCAGTTATGGAGGTACCGACGGACATCGTATTTTCGATGATATTTGGTCATTTGATTTACATACTGGTTTATGGTTAAAGATCGATGCTGATGGATATACTCCCGCTGCTCGTGAAAGTTGTGCCGCCGCCATTGTGGATGATGTTATTTACATTATCGGTGGTAAAGGTGAAAAGGGTGCCGAATTAAATGATTTATGTGCTTATAAGATTAAGCGTAAGTAGAAAAACATTCTCCAAAACATACTTCTCCTGATTTACTCAACCAGTCCCTCCCTTCTTTTATAGATCATCGTTGGTTTCGATTCCAGAATATGGGACCGTCCCCATCTGCTCGTCATGGACTTACCATGACAGCCGTAAGAGAGAAGCTTTATGTTCTTGGCGGTGATAATGAAACTTCCAGATTGGATGACTCTTCCCTATTATTCATTTTGGACAGTACAAAAATCAAATACCCTACCGATATCCCACCACCAGTACAACAAGCACCATTGCCTGTGCCACAACATGCATCTGCGGATCCATCCAATAACCAACATAATTATGATACTGCGTCCCTCGAAGATATAAGTGGACGGCAACAATATTATCCACCACAACCGCAAAAAGCAGGACAGGCGCCTCAACAACAGCAGTTCCAACAACCATACCAACAACATTATCCTGATCAAAGACAACCCAGATTAAACCAACCACCATCTTCTCCTCAACAGCAACAACCTCAACGTAGCTTGACAACCAATCCCAAAACAGGAAATGGTTTGCATAAAGAAATTGATACATCCATGAATTATTCAGAGAATAACGTTCAACCTTCTCCTACAAGCAGCAGTAGTCCAAGCAGTTTAACTTCTCCACGTCATAGATCATATTATCCCGAAAACCAGAATCAATCTTTAACCCAGGTAACAAAGAAAAATATCAAAAAAAGATAAAAAAAATTTATTGGCATTTAACATGTACCTTTTTCATAGCCTCCTGTTCGACCTCCTCGACATATGTCAACTGTTCCTGAAGCCGCTCTTCGTCGTCCTCGTGCTACATCCCCTCTCCCTCAAGCTGAATCCGAAATTGCTGCAGACATCCGTCGCCAATATCAATCTCCTACCTCTCCCAATCTCGACACAATCCACAACAGTCCTATCCATGGTAGTCCCATTTATAACGGTTCGATGCATGGTAGTCCTATGGGAGCTAGTATTTTATCTGCCACCGAAGATGACTTTATAGAACCTCAAAGAATCATGTCACCTCATACCACCAGCCGCTCTTCGCCTGTTGCACCGCCACCTCGACCTCCTCGTGAAGGTGTCGGATTAGGTAACGCTCAGAGAAATACCATGGTCAATCACGAAGATCCTTTACGTCCAAAATCTCAAATGCCAATCCGTAACCAGTCCGCTCAACATTCACCTCAACCTATTGTCCCTCCTGTTGATACCACAGCAGCTATACCACCCGGACACCAAACTCCTTCTCCTCAACAGTTAGCATATCAACAACAGCTCGCGAACGAACAAGCGCTTGCTCACGAACAGCACGCTAAAGAACAAGCTATGGCACAGGAGCAAACTCAATTGCAAGCTCAACAGCAAGCTCAATTACAAGCTCAACAACAAGCTCAGTTGCAAGCTCAACAACAAGCTCAATTGCAGGCTCAACAACAAGCCCAATTACAAGCTCAATATGTAGCTCAACAAGAAGCTCAAAAATTAGCTCATCAAGAGGCTCAACTTTTGGCACAAAAGGAAGCTCAATACGCTCAGCAACAAGCTCAATACCAAGCACAGCATCAACAAAAATACCAAGCCGAGCAAGTTCTTGAAAGATCAGCGAGCCGACAGTTACATCCATCATCGCCGTCTCCCATTCATGGTAAACCCAAGCAGGATAATGCAGCTACTGCTGCAGCCGCTGTTCAAGCTGCTACTGCCGCCGCCACTGCTGCAGCTCAAGAAGAGCGACAGTCTTTGATGCGTGAAATTAAGGCACGCGATATGATCATTAGCGAGATGAAAAAGAAGGAGAACTGGTGGCGAACAGAAGTTTCGCTTGCTCGTAAGCAACGATCTAACAAGGGTGAAAGCTTTGATGATGGACCTGATGCGGATGAAGCTTTATTGATGGACATTGATCATATTGAAGAGGACAAGGTCAAATTGTTTGAACAGCTGGTCTCTGTCAAATCCGAATTAAGACGTGTACGTAACAGTATCCTTCAACAGGCTCAGCCCATGTCAGAAAAAGTCGCACAAGCCGATCGTATGCGTACGGCTGCACTTCAAGAGGCCGCTTACTTTAAGAGTAAGTATTTAGCTCTGAAATCGCGTCGCCAAGAAGAGATTGAAACTCTTGATATATCTCGTTGTGATGAGCTCGAAAAGAGGTTGGCTGCTGCGTTGACAGAGAATGAATCTACCAGTAAATTGTTGCAGCAGCTTCAAAAGAGATCTCAGCATGATCAAACATCTCGTGTGGCTACGGAAGAGCGTGCTAGAGAGGCACAAGAACGTGCAGAAGAAGCCCAGCAAGCACATCAACGTGCTCTTGAAGAGTTACAGGTGGTCTACAGCAGAGCTACGAAGGCGGAGTTGCAAGTTCGGGAGAACGCTGTCAAGATTGCAGATTTAACTCAACAGTTGAGTGATGCTTTGATGGCACAACCTATTGTCAAGAGTCAAGAAGTGACAGAAGCGCAATTAAAGGCATCGCAGTTGGAGGCCGCTAATTTGAAGGCACGTAATGAGACTGCGGGACTTAAACAAAGACTTGCTGAAAACATGGATGAAATTGCTCGTCTTCGTACTGTTTTGAACGAACGAGAAGATGCGCTTGGTGAGGCCAAGATCCATGTTGAAGACTGTGAGATTCAGTTGAGTATGATGAGAGAAGCCATGAACCAACAACATCAAAAAAGTTCAGTAAATGGATTTTCACCTACTAGAGCCTATTAAAAAGATAACCTTTGCCATTTCTTTATTATACACATTCACTTTTGAACACACACTCCTCCCACCTTTATCTAATATTCCCCTCCTCCCAACCCATCGAAATCCAATCTATTAATTTATTCTCCCATCAATTATAAAAAATATGCATGTTTTTTTGCTAGAAAATAGTTTTATTCTGCCTTTTTTGGAATTTCGATCAGTTTGTCTAAAGTGCTGATTTTTCACTCGTTGTATTTTACAAAGTTGTTGTTGTTGTTGGGTTGATTGTGTGGAGGGTTGCATTTATCCTTCACGCCATTGGTGTTGACAATCGTCTTTACAACACTTGTAGAAAATGGATGAAGGTTCATCAGCTGAACGAATTTGAATCATCATGAAGTACGCTCTATCGTGTTCACACTTGGGGCAAGTTACTATTAAAAAGACAAGTCAATGTTTGCTCTTCCTTTCAAATTAAGTTTTTCATACCTTCTGTAGAATCAACATTCTTCCAAGCATCTGCTCCACCCAACACATCGTCCACTTCCTTTCTCTTTAATTCTTTACGAGATGTGTGCTGTAGAAATAGTTTGTTAGTATTCCTTCTTTTACGTTTTGTTTGTGACTACATACACGACTTTGGATGCTGTAAACATAGGGACAGGACTGACAGAAAAATGCCTGTCCACCTTCGTTTTCAATCAGCAACAAGTTGGCACAATGAGGACAGAATAACATGGTGACAGACTACAGAACTTTTTTTTTTCCTTCTATTTTTTTTTTATTGTAACTGATTATTTTTTAGAATCCAGACTGTATTTCATATAAGCCACATGGGATGAAAGTGCATGATTTTTAAAAAAAAGAATCTATTTATTGTAACAAAAATGAAGGGATGTAAAGGAAGTCCCTTCTGTTTTTTAAAAAAAGTGGTTTATATGTATGTAAAAAGGGGATAGAGTAAATGTATTTATTTCTTGGCTTCGGCCTTGACAACCTTGGAACCGTTCTTTTCACGCAAGACCAAAGTCAAGTTAGATTTGGCATCAACAGTGATTTGAACCTCAATCTTGCTACCCTTAGCCTTGGCAGCATGTTCAAGAGGAAGAGAAGCTTCGATCAACTTAGCAGCAGGCTTTTGGAAAACCTTAGTGACAGTCTCGACCTCATCCTCATAAGCCTCTTCACCTTCTTCGGCAGCAGGAGCTTCGTGCTTAACTTCGGTCTTTTCAACAACATGGTCACCTTCGAACAAAGCGACGTAAGCATGGGTTTGGTTAGCCTCAGCGTTGGAGAACTCAAAGACACGACGGGTGGGGAGAGCAGTAGCACGGGGAATGACAGTAACAAATTCACCCTTGGCGTTGATAACACCAATGGCCTTGGATGTGTTGGGAGCTAATGTGACAACGGGGTGGATAGCAGCCTCGATATCTTCCTTCTCGAAAGAGCTGATCAAAGAACCTTGGATAGCACAACCACGGGCAACAACCTCATCAGCTTCGAGTTCGCTCAAAACCTTGGTGTTCTCACCAAAGACTTCACGGATCTTCAAGGCAAACTTGGGAATACGGGCAGAACCACCAGCAAGGAGAACTTCATCAACTTCGGAAGCATCCAATTGAGACTTTTCCAAAACTTCGGCAATAACAGTTTGGAGTTGAGCAAAAATACCCTTAGACAAAAGCTCGAAACGCATACGGTTAATGTTGCTATGGAGATCATAACCTTCGGCTAAAGACTCGACGAAACAAGGAGCAGAGTTGGCACTGGACAACATCTTCTTGGTAACCTCAACGGCGTTGCGGAGCTTGGCCAAGGCCTTCTTGTTGGAAGAAATATCAATCTTGGTCTTCTTTTGGAATTCACCAGAGAAGTGCTTGATCAAGAGATCATCGAAAGTAGCACCACCAACCTTGGTGTTATGTGCAGTGGCCAAAACGGTGTACATACCGGAACGAACAGCCAAGACAGTAACATCGAAAGAGTGTCCTCCCAAATCACAGACAACAACGGTCTTATCTTGAGGATCCTTGTTGGAAGCATCTTGACCAATACCGTAAGCAAGAGCAGCGGCAGAGGATTCGTGAACAAGTTGAACAACCTTGATACCAGCAGCTTCAGCGGCGGCGGTTAATTCAGCACGTTGCTTATCAGTGAAATAAGAAGGAACGGCCATGACAGCACCGTTGACGGGAGTACCCAAGAAATCTTCGGCAGATTCACGGATATGACGCAAGAACTTGGCAGAAACCTCTTGAGCACTGAAGACAACCTTACCTTCGGGCAAAGTAACTTCATAAGCAGGGGCGCCGTTCTTATCAACAACAGCGGCAGCAGATCCAGGCAAAATCTCGGATTCGGCAAAGCTACAAAGTACAATTTTTTTTGCATAAATTTACTGTTTCCCTTCTATTTCATATTCTCTCATTTAAGCCTCGTATCAAATCTTACCTCTTTCCAAGGTTGGCACGGAAGTTAGCAATGGTGTGATCGGGGTGACGAGCAATGTCTGACTTGGCTTGAGAACCAATAACCTAAACATCAAAAACGTTGATTAGCATATTATTTTCCCTTTACGCTCCCAAGTTTTTATATCTTTTACCTCTTCATCACCATGGAAAGCAAGGGCAGAGGCGATCTGTCTATCACCTTCCTCGTTGGCAAGACAATCGGCGCGACCATCCTAAATCAATTTACAAAAAAGTCAATACGCCAGCTCCTAGTCAAACCTTGCTTAATAGCATTTCAATTTACCTTGTTGAGGTAGGCAATAGAGGTGTAGGCAGTACCAAAGTTAATACCGATAATAGTGTTAGATTCGCTCATTGTAAAAGAAGGGGTTGAAATACACAAGATAGAAATCTAAAAAAAAAAAAAAAAAAATATCACCTTTAAAAAATATTTAACAGCTCGAGAAATCAAGTGGCCAATCATAGCTTTCTGGAAGCCATGCCCATCGTTCGTGTGGCTTAGCCAACACCTCGAATGGAAAAATGGGCGGAGTGGTCTAAATCGTGTCACCAGTGTATGGTAAGCCAACAAAACCGAGATGCATTGTTACCAGCCTAATCCTTATTACATGTTTAAAATTAAATGAACGTACACGGTACATATTAAATTTTTATTTTCTACATTAGATATCATGTTTTTCTACTAGCTCCCTGTTTTGGAAGATTTAAGAAAAAAAAAAATTGGGATTTTCAACCGGTAGTGTAGGTATAAAGTATTTCTTCGCGTGGTGTACAAGTAGATGATGGTGATATGCTCTCTTATTACTGAATTTTTTCTTACATCCAACGTACAGAAAAATTTACGTCATCAACATCAGGCACTGTGTTTGCGTGCTGTACACAGACTTTGCCAACACCAACTTTAGAATCTACGAAATTCTTATGGAGTTGATGGATGGTTTTTCTGGAAAATGTCGAATCACAAATATCACATTATCGGTTAGTATCGGTCAATATATCCCTAGTTTGCATGCGATTATTCATCGAGGAAGTTTTCCTTGATGTCGCAATATCATGAAGGATCCGTATGTGCCATAAGAAATTCGATCTGCCTTTGAAGACACAATTACATTGTGGATAGAAATTTGTTGTATCGCTTTTTAGTAATTCAAAAAAAAAAAGAAAAAAATCATAGATGACACTATGCCTAACATTTAAGTGTTGACTGTACAAACTCGTTGAACAGAATGACTTTTCGCAGGTGCGATAATATAATTTTGGATCGTTTATGTCTGGTAAAAGCTGGCTCGGCTTGATACCATGAACGTCTTTAGTATGACTCGTTAGCACCAGATTGTCAGGAAATATCGATGAACAAAAGGTGCATTGAAGTTCAGCATTAACTATGGCGTTTTTTGTGTTTTCCGTCAAGTTATAGCAGTAGCTTTCATTTAACAGTAGCTCTTTAGAAAAAAAAACGCCATTCTTTTTTTTTTTCAAAACAAAAATAGACTTTAGGTAATAAAGTTACCTGCTGTTACTGACAAGTCTCAATAAAAAATGGTGTGATGATATAAAGATAAAGATTAAGATAAAAGTTCTCAAAAAGTGAGCACCAGACTATATATTTGTCAACTGGAAAGAAATTATATTTGTGTAAGAGGGCAACTTATACTACGAAATTAGATAAGAGTGGTATTCGAAGGTGTATAGTCTAATACAAAATAGAATAGCTAACGATGCTAATTTACAGAAGCAATCATAATTAATACGAAATCACTGTTTCCAATTACAATAGTCGGCCAATTGAAGGGTGACCAAAAATCTTGAAAATGACACCCTTTTTTTTTTTTTTTTTTTTGAAAATACCATTAAATCGGAAAGCGCAACTATTTAAAGCACATATTACAAAGGCACTTCTATCCATAAATATGATCATTACCATTCTAGGTCGGGTATTTAATAAATTCAATCAAAAAGTAAGAAAAATGGCCCAAATACAGTGTTATACCACTCAATATAAGTGTACTGTGATTCGGAATCCCACTCTTGAATATAATAGTGATTTAGTGGTGCTAATGCAGGGAATCGGAGGTGTTTCTTCAAAAATCCACCATTGAATAGAAGACACCGTTAAATCGAACACCCTTAAATCGAGCAGCTAATGTATCAAAATCATACGATAAAAGAGAGATTATGAACATAAAAGCTAGACTGAAGGATATTTTAGAGTTTGATAAATTTATAGAAATATGGTAGTATGTTAAATAAAATCTGGTCACAGCTAAATACAGTGCGCTAGTAGCCCATGATGGTAATAATTAAGCAGTTGGATCGGTTGATGCCGTAGCTGCCATATGATGTCTCTTCAGGAATATTTGGTGCAGACGGTTCTGTTGTATCCGTCTGACTTGGTGTAAACAATGGCCTTAATAGCATAAAATTTTAATTTGGCAGAGGCGGTATCTAACAGCCTTTCAAAGGCTTCTATCACCTCTGTGGCATATATTCTATAAAGGCTTTTTTCTTTCACACCGAAATGATTCTCTAGGGATAGCCCAATGAAATGGAGCTGTCTGATGATTTGGAGCTTTCTGCGCTGTACAGTCCCACTCCAAAAAGAAAGTTCCACCCTGTAACTCCGACCCTTTTTTAAAAGGATAGGTTTCATAGATCTAATGCTCATCACTCTCACTTCTGTTTTTTTCTCCTATAGTTGAGTATGGCTCAATTGACACCTGATCAAAAAGCTTACGCAGTTGCAAAATCAAAACAAGGCACTCCCATCTCACAAATTGCTCGTGAATTAAATTTTTCAAGAACTGCTATCCGTCGCGCCATCCAACACTTTAAACAAACTGGTTCATACCAAAGACAAGCAACTTCTGGAAGGCCAAAAAAGTTCAGCAACAGGGACTAAAGGGCGTTAAAACGCTATGTGCTAAAAAATAAACCTAGTACTCTTAATGAAATCATGGCCAACGTCGATGTCACTGCAAGCATCAATACATTCAGGAAAGAGCTTCAAAAGCTCAATTGGAAAGTCGTATAGCCCGAAAAAGCCATTTATTAACGAAAACCAAAGAAAAAGATGTCTAGAATTTGCAAAGCACTGGGGTTTGGAAGACTGGAGGAAGGTTACAGATAAATCAAGCTTTCAAACCAGCAGTTGTTCTAGTGTTGTTCGGGTACGCCGCAGGCCCAATGAAGTCATGATTCCGTCATGTTTGGCGCCAGCGTTTCAGAGTGGACGATCCTTCTTATCTGTCTGGGGTGGTATTGGATATAATCGTCGCACTAATTTGGTATTACTTATTAAGAAGGGTGAAAGATCTAGTGCTCAGTTCATTAATCAAGTATATGAACCTGTTTTGAAGGACTTTTATAACGGCTCTAGTTCAGCAATTCTCATGGAAGATAATTCACCAATCCACACTTCAAAAGTTCGAAAATGGAAGAAGGATATGGGTATTATTTGTTTAGATCGGCCGCCACAATATCCTGATTTGAATCCAATAGAGAATGTTTGGATGATGATGAAACTCACAAGACAAAACTGTTTGCAGTTTGTAAATCATATTTCGACATTACAGATGCACGTAGTAAATGAATGTAAAAAGATAGAAGTTAAAAAAATTAACAAACTTATCAATTCCATGCCTAAACGCATAAACGATGTAATAATAAACAAAGGGTACTCAATTCACCATTGAGTAAACCTACGTTTGTCTAAAATACTTTTTTTTTTTTCATAAGTTTTATATCATAATGTTTAGTACTTTCTTTTATATTATGCAGTGTTTTTGAAAGAGGTTTGCTTATAAAAGTCTGTTAAAAATCATGTAAGAAGATGGAACATACATCTAGGATACATGTCGGAGTTACATGGTGGAACTTTCTTTTGGAGGGGACTGTACATAATGTTGCGAGAATATTAACTTTGATAATAAATGCGTTTGAACTTTTGAATTGAAAATGTTAAATGAATTTATAAAACTAACACACTGTAACAAAAGATGCGCTAGTTTTAATATAAGGAGCAGATAAAAGGCTCCTTATTGCATCCTTTGTTACGGCTTTTATGCAAATCAATGGTGTAACACACACACACACAAAATTAAATCCTGATTCATTCAACAATTGGCTAGGATGAAGATGGGATAACACCAAAACTATCGTCATTTCTTTCATCTGGATTTGTTTCAAATGCATTTGAAGTATTCTCAAGCCCGTCAACGGCGTCTCCGGAGTAAAAATCTTCATCAAGAAGAGACATTTCCTGATACACATCCTCGACAGGGTCTGTCATTGATGTATTCTCGTCAGTGGTACCCTCGACTTTGATGGAGTAGTTATCAAAGACAGGTTGCATGTTATCGCTGAAATTTAAATTCGCATGCTGATAATCTTCAAAAGAAGTAGCATTATGTTTAAATTCAGTTTGCTATTCGAGGTCGTTTTCTTCCATCTCAGAATCGCTTTGTCGCGTCATGAGGGATGGAGTTAGTGCGCGTGGAACCATATCAAATTCATCTTCAGAAGATGGGGTGTTGTATCCAATACCCATTAAGATGTCTTTTACATCCGTAGACACACCTTCTAAATAGCAGAGATAACATTGTAATCCAATATAGTCACTTGATGTGTAACATCGATGTCTCTATCCTGCGCATCAAGCACGGGCTATTCTATGGGAATGGGGTCAATTTCCTAGTGCTCAACGTCGTAAAATACATCCCCATCGTCGTCCGTGTAGTTTAAATAGCGTGACACTTTTTGACGTGAAATTGAATCACGTTAAATGGTGTCATTTTTTAATTCTAAAAAAAACCCCATGAGAAAAAATAATAGTTATGAATGAATTCATCTTCGCTCGGGTTTACGGAACGGTACATAGACTATAATAAAAATTGAGTGACTATAAACAGAAATCAATACGATTTGTGTTTTTACCCTGTTAGTCTTTAGTCTTTTGGGATTCCTTGCTAGGCTATCGCTCATGACTGAATGATTGACCTAAGGCTCTTGTTAGAAAAAGATAAAAGAAAGGAGAGATTGTTTTGTTTTTTAGTCCTGCAAAGAAGTGAAGAAAAAGTCTAATCATATTACACTAAATGCCTCACAAACAAAGATACACTATTTAACCCTCTGTATTAACTTGGTACATTTTCTTTTAATCATATAAACTGTTTAGGTATGCCACTATATGTTTATTAAACAAGAAAACTCAATTTTACAATGATCTGCATTCTTTAATAATTTTATAGCATCTAATGAAATCAAACGGTTATGGCAGCTCCTTCGGCAGGGGAGATATCTATGCACCTCCCATATCAATTTTTTTTTGTAGTATATTACATAACAAACCGTTTTAATTTATGGCTGTAGTTTGAACAGTCGCAGTGTCAACAGCATTAGAGAATAGAAATTTATATGTAACTAACGACTGTAGCTGTATAAGCCACGAAATTTCCATTAGTATGCTACACATTACTTTTTTTTGACAGATATCGCTATATCAAAGTAAGCCCTTCCATAATTAACAGTGGCGCTTTTTGTAACCCATTCATGCGGTCATGTTTATTGCAATTGACCGTGCGGCACAAACAGAGGCTGGTAAAAAAAAAAAAGTAGAGTGCATCTGCTTTTCAGTAGTTCCTAACGTGTTTTGTGACATTTTTGAGCATTCATCTCCGACTAGTACAAGTAATATAAAAGTAAATTTATTCATAGCCAGATTTTTTTTATGTGGGGGGGATTTTTAATATTGGGCCTCCGGCTGCGATTTCATAGGCCGGCTCTAAACAGCTTCAGATCAATATTTCAAGCCTTTCAATACATAAATTATTTTTAAAAAGAGTTACGCATCTTAAAAATATACTTTAATATATATTCTAAATTACAAGTAATTCTACTTAGTACATAAAAAAGGTTTAAACTTTTTTATCTTCTTTTCAGTTTAGGTAATATTGAGCCTCCGGCTGCGATTTCATAGGCCGGCTTTGAGCAACTTCAGATCAATATTTCAAGCCTTTCAATAAATGTATTAATTTTAAAAATGGTCACGTATCTTAAGGATAAAGTTCATAATATGTATTCTAAATTACAAGTGGTTCTACTTAGTACATAAAAAAGGTTTAAACTTTTTTATCCTTTTTCAGGGTTTGTGATATTGAGCCTCCGGCTGCAATTTCATAGGCTGTCTCTTAACAACTTCAAATCAATATTTCAAGCCTTTCAATGGATAAATTAATTTTAAAAAGGGTCACGCATCTTAAGAATATTTGTTTTAATGTATATTTAAAAATTCAAGGAGTTCTACTAAGTACACAAAAAAGGTTGAAGTTATTTCAAGCCATTGCTAACGATTATATAGTCTTTGCGCGGTTTTTTAAATCCGTGAGTACAAACAGTGGGTTATTTCAAAATCCGACCACGGCTAATGATATTAGCGGCAGGTTATTATTGGCTCAAAAACCTTTTTGTACAGGTTGTGACATTTTTTCCCCGCCCCCACCTAAAAAAAAAATGTTGAATCCAGAATCTGTTATTTTTTAATTTAATATATGTAGATTCTCATTTTAATCAACATAAAAAACAATCCTAACCTTCAGATGGGATATTAATTATAAGGAAAATGTGTTTTACCCATCTAAATATTTGTCTCTGCTTAAATTTTTTTTTAGGTACCACCCAAAAGCAGATGCACTCTAATACTTTTCCTGTGTATCATTTTTTCAGCACGTGCTTTCAGACGGCATCATTTCAATGTTTGTATAAAAAATAAACATTGATCAGCAATACATTCTGGTAGGTAATAGGGAATTATTTATTAAAGAGTAAATTATATGAAATGTAGCTGTAAAGGTTTTTTTTTTTTTAGGGAATCGTTTCATTTTTAATAGAACTATCATCACTAGTAGTGTATGACCAGCGCTTAGCACAAAGTAACGTCGTAACCAATGCGAACACCGAGAAACAATCCGTAAAGATAAAATTGAGCACCACCGCAGTAGTAAAATTACTAACACTATTCGCAGAAAAAACAAGGACCGTAATTGTGTCAGTAATTACCGGGACAGTAGCAAAAAAGCCAAACAAAGCAATTGTTTTAGTAGGTTGAGCTGGTAGTTTTCTGATCAAATCAATCAGAGTGAAGTATAAGATGATAAAAATTGAGACAAAACCCCAATCGCTAAAAAAGTTAAAGTTGATCAATCTTGCAAACTGAAGATATCTGGCCAGATATTTATCTACACTGCCATCTATGTAAAGTTCTTCTGGGGTCAATTCATAGTCGACTTTAATCGCTGTAAGAGCAATAGCACAAATGATGCTAATGATTGACCAAAGATAAGCGCAATAGACAAGTAATTTACCAGCATTTTGAGAATTAGATCTGGCTACATCAGTGTGAGATTGACCCTTACATATGGGGAGAAATAAGCATATACATGACAACCAAACAGAAGAATGATATGCTTTATCGACAATCCAGTAGCCTTGGCCGTGGCTTATCGCCTCCGAGTAGAAAATAGTACCGCCCAACAATCCAAAGAAACCCGCTAAAAGTGTAAAAATGTAACTTTGGACAGGATCACCTTTTGACCTTTTATACAGTACATAGCAGGCGTATAAAAGGACGAGAGCATTTAGTGCTGCGCTTACGTAAGATACAGCTTTTGCAGGTACCAAAAGCTCTGTTAATATAGAGTCAAATTTGGTTTTACTGAAAACAAAGACAAAGGATAGATTATTCATATTCGTTAAGAAAAATTAAAAAAAGGGAGATTTTAAAACCATTTATGGTGTATATATATATACATTTTATTAGTGGTACAAGTAATGAGTTCATGAAGTGCCTCATTCTATATATGGAATTTAACTCTTTTTACACAAAGGAATCATGTGCAATTATTAAAATTGTCGGTAACGCATTAATTGTTAGCGACTGCGGTATGCTTGATTGATCTGGAAATGCAGAAAAAATAAAGACGGATTAGTAACAACAAATATTTTACAAGTTTTTTTTTTTTTTTTTTTTTTTTTTTGTTACCTTGAAACATTCTCAAATAGTCTTTCAATGTCTGGTGAGCAACGAATAAATTCATGCTTCCAGAAGCTAGGATCCTTGATCAATTCAATGAACGAAGCCAACAATCCCCATGGATGAGGTCGATTGACAATTAGTCTTTCCAATAATACCCTATCAAAGATATACCGTTAGTAAGACATTCCCTATTTTTCAACTGGAGATAGATACCTTGTGATTTGTTCTTTAACAATCTCCGTTTGACTGGCGAACAATTGCAAGAAGGAAGCACTAAAGAAACAAGTGTGACTATTGGGGTAACGCAAGTTATCTGCAATGGCGCTTAAAACAGTGTATCGACCTATTTTAAAGATGATGTTAAATTCACTTTTTTTTCTACATTGTATATTATAATTATTATTATTATTATTATTATTTACCTTCAGATCCCATCTTTGAAAGCAAATGTGTGTAAGCAAGCATAGCGGGACTTTGTTTCACAGGCACGTCTTTCATCTGAGAAGACTTAGCACCAATGTACAAAACAAAGGCACACAACATTTCTGTATTGTAACCTTCTATCTCATCGTGTTGTACAAGGTTAATTTGAGCTTCTAAGGCCTGATAAAAGTCTTGATTTTGATTTCCGATGAATGCATCCACTTGTGCCTTAAAGTTATTCTCGTTCAAAATATCAGCATAGCTTTGATCAAAGACAGGTTCTTCCAGAGACTCGGGTAGTAATTCTAATTTGAGATCAGGGGTAAAAGGATCGGGTAAATGCATCACACGGGGGAAAGCACTGAGGATTAGATTTCGGAGCTGGACACACGAATGAGGGATGGATTGTGCAAACAATACATAATTGCTGCACAAGAATTCGGGGAAATCATGTAAAAGTACAACAAGAACACGAAGTGTACCACGGTAAAACATTTTTGTGGCGCGAGGTAGTTCTTGTTGCCCGTTTAACAGTGGGCTGAGGAATTTGAGTAACGCAAGAGTCAGCTTTTGGCACAACATTGCACCATTGCCGTCATTTGCTACAAGCAATTGAGGCAAGAAAGAGCGACATGAAATCAATTGAAGCCAAGAGAAGGCAAATCCAGGAAAGTTATTGGGTTGCAAAGTATACAAAGCATCACTATGTAATTTAAAGTTTTAAGTAAAACAAAATGTCTTTCTCTCTCAAAAAAAAAATAAATAAATAAATACCTGAATGTAATAAGAGCACTGGCGTCAATAGACTTTGTGCGAATCTTACTGATTTCATTGAACATGGAAGCAAATAATCGAAGGAAAGGCTTTTGATTAAAGTTGACACCACGGCTCTCATGGTGCTGTGACAATACAAGGATCATAACAGATAATGCATCATTTAAAAGTTTCACCTTGGCCTTATCGGAACTCTTTTCTTCAATTACCATTGCTGACACCAATTTAGTAACAGAGTCAATTAAATGGATCATACGGCGATGATGAAGTGTGCTGACAGAGCGGAATGCAAGGTAATGGTTCACACAGGTTTCGGTACAAAGTCTAAAAAAGAAACATCTTCCCTCTTCATCCTTGGTAATTTCCATCACGCGTTGAGCCAAAGATGTATAGATATCATCGGTAGCCATGGGGTGTTGACACAGACGAACCCATTCGGCCATGATCATACGAAGTTCTAAACAGTCAAGGTCATGCTTGATATCTACGTAAGGTTCTTCAACCATTTTTCGAAGGTCGTCAATAAATGAGCTTACACTACGAGAAAAAGAAATACATTCATGCATCAGTTAATTTTCACATATACAGAGGAAAAAAAAAAATTTACTTACACAGCAGGTGCTTCATCGTTTTTAACAAGCTTATACAAGGCAGAGACTGTCAAGATATGATCTTCCAAAAAGGTGATGGGTTCTTGCGTGGTTAAACATATCGTCATTAAATTTCCAGCAAACTCAATCACACTATCAGCCTTCGCATTAATCAATTTGGCAAGTTGAACATCGTACTCTTCGAGAGGTAAAAGTTCGTATTTGATCAGCATGGAAACAGCAGGTGAGTTATACTTGCGTTCATCATCAGCGTAAATCAACCAGGATAACGTTTCTTTGGTAACTTCGCCCGAGATTTCAAACAAAGTCTGAAGGAACATTGTATACACTTCCAATGCAAATGGAGAAGTGCTCTGATACAACATCAAGACAACCTTTTCAACAAATGTAACCATCGTCTGCAAAGGTGTGGGACTTTGGGTCACAAGCAAAGGGATTTGTCGTATCAACAAACATATATCGTGGTTGGGAGGTAATTGCGAGATGGCACTGAATCCAGATTGTCGAATAATACGATCTAAATCCAAAAGCATCTGTTCCAGTTTAGCATTCAACAAATTAGCATTACTTGCCATGGCTGGATTAGGTGAATCGGTTGCACCCATAAACTGCTGTTGCTGCTGAAGTTGAGCGGCTGCTTCGGGATGAAAGTTATTCACTGGCGACAATTGCTGCATTTGATGTTGCTGTTGTTGCTGCTGCTGTTGTTGTTGATGTTGCTGTTGCTGCATAGCAAGGTATGTTCTTTGATCAAAACTTTCGTACAATCGGAATTGTTCGGGGGTAATACCATGGGTAGGTCGTAACATTTCAGGCAATTGAACTGAATGAGGTGCTCCACTTAAGCTCAGCACATCAAAGAACGGAGCAACATTATTATGCTGTTGCTGTTGTTGTTTGCGATAAGTTATACGACTAGCATAAGCGGGTGCTAAAGCTCGGTCTACGTCCTCCAACGCTCTGATCTTAGTCAACTGATCGACATAAACACAAAACAATTCCATATTCTCGTTAGCAATGGTAGAGGCGATTTCTTCTGCTAGTTGTTCAGGGAGTCCATTTTGAACCAAATTAGCACAGATGATAGTGATAATGCTAGCACATAAGGGTTCTTTACAGGTCACAACACATAAGCTACAGGCAAGTGGTAATACCATGGCACGAGCAGCACGTTGTAAGCGAGACTCATCGGCTTCAGTAGCAAAATCCTTCAGGACCATCTCCTTGGTAGAAACAGCGGCAATATTCGCCGATGTCACAATAATGGGTGGTACCACTTCCGAGAAAGCTTCAGAAACACCTGAAAAGATGGCATTTTTAATGACAGGATGCTGAAGTATAAGCTGACCAATGGCAGGGTTAATCAACAGCTTGTTTAAAACGGGAGAAACATCAATGTCAGGACGAGAGTCCTGTTGTGGCGCAGGGTTCATGGGTGGCAAAGAAGGAGGGCGTTGCAAGGATTGCTCAGGTTGCTCTTCCAAGATAGTCTTAATTGACTTTTGAGACAGAGCTGGAGAAGCAGTAGCAGCAGCATTGAAAGCAGCTGATTTTTCCGGATTGATGTTGATACCGGGAGGACCACCCGCGTGCTTCTCTAAAATGGAGGTAGGTTCAATCTCATTCAAATCAAGGTTTAAGGTCTTGTAAAGGATTTCAATTTCAAATTTCAAATTTAATTTGAGACCTTCTGTCCAATACAATTCGGCTAAAACCTTCAAACTACCCATCAACCAAGGGTTAGGAGGCTTAAAAATCTTGCTGTTACTGGCATGCTGCAACACTTTACAGACCAAAGGAATGGCAACCACCAATTGATTCTTGTCAAAAGCAGAAACCAAGAGATCTTTGAACGAAAGATCCTTGTGGCGAATAGGCTTATTCTTGGCAATCGTCAGTCTACCCAACCAACTACCCAAGTTCTTTAACAAGTTTCGATCGGAAGAAGAATTGGCAATGGTCTCCGATTGTAACAAAAGGTTGATATTCAAATAAGTTTCCTCGATCACGGTATCCGTCAAATGTTGGATTTCAAGCTCGTCCAAAAGTGCTGAATACAATTCATGGTTATTGGGTTCGATGCTGACACGTCGTACCACCAGGTAGTGGCTAAACCAACCCCAAGTGGATTTTTGCAATAATTGCTTCAGCTCCACCGTTTTGCTTCGCATATTGCCCGCTGATAAATTGTTGATTAAAAACGACACACGTTCCTGAACCTTTTCGGGTGGATTTTCGTAAGATTGCTTCGTCGTACTCTGTAAAAGTGTGGTTACATTGACCGCATCACCTCCAGTGGATCTCTCCGCTGCTGTTGATGAATTCCCTTCGTTCGTAGGTGTTGTCATTTTAGGCGAACCCAGCATCATTTTACCTTCAGGATCTTTCTGCGCCAATTGTTTCAACGTCGTAGCGATACTTTCCACAATCGTAGGGAATCCTCTTAATCCCTCAATCTTGGACAGCAAAAGTGTGTATTGTGGCCATTCAAATAATCGACTGCGGAATTGAGCTAAAGCTTGGATACCAAAGTTGAACATTTTGGATCCAACAGGATATTTGAGAGCATCCAAAATCAATTTAAGAGTGACACGCAATTGAGCATACGAAATGAGGTGTTGTTCGATTAAAAGACCGAGAAGTTCACCTGTAGCTAATAATTCGTTTTCAGGGTATTGAATAAAGAAACGAGCTTCATCCAACTAGATTAAGTGTGGGTTAGCTAAAGCATACAAAAAAAAAAAAAAAGGGATATGAGAGAGAAAAGCTTACCAATGTGTGGGTAGTGCAAGAAAAGAAATTCACTTGTCGTTGATCGTTGGAAGTACGACAGGCATTTAAGACGGAAGCAAACTTACTGGCACTGATATCCTTTGTATACAACCTTTCAAAATACAAACGCACCATTTCTTCCACCTCGTCCGAATAATTTCTCTCGTTTTCGCCTCCCTCACCCAGTCCAGCCGGTTTCTTTTCGACCTGTCCTCTATACTCGTTTAATTGGGGATACAGTTGAGTGTATAATTGACTTAATTTCGTTAATTTTGCAGTTTCCGCAGGAGGTAAGGGTCTACAGAAAATGATGTTTAGTATTGGAAGAGGGGAGGCCCTTGCATTTTTCGTTTCCATGTTATACCTTTCTGATAAAATTCTAAAGAAAACACGAATGACATCCATGGATAATTGAAGGGTAGGAATGGCATTTGCACCTGATTGGCGAGCCATTTCTATCGCACACTTCTTTTCCAAAAAATCCACACACGCACCAAAAAACGCAAATCCATCTTTGGCCAGTCTTTCCATTAACCATTTTTCTAAATTCAAATTTTGTCGACGTGCGGCAAGAGAAGCTAAATCCAAAGTGAAGAAAGGTACATCTGTTTTCAATATATGCACAACAATCTATTCTCGTTCACCCCTTTTTCTATTAGTAAAATGCTTCTTCTCTCTCTCTCTCAATGTGTATATATTCTTTTACCTTGGCTTCTTGTGCAATATCTAATATACGTGAAACAGAAGTAGGGTCCTTTTTATACATTTCAAAGAAACCTTCTAATAACAGGTTGGGTTGGACGTGCCAAAGTAATCGTATAACCAGAGGAGAATTTACATGACCAATTAAGAAAATATTCAAGAGCTTGGGAAGTAAAGTGCGATGTAATTCATTCTTGATAGGCTACACAGTGAAAAAGAAAAGGGAATAAATATATTTCGAGCGTCATGAAGGTTGGGAGGGGGGAGATGAAGAATTTACCTGAATTTGAGCTAAGCCGATCATTAGCAATTCAGGTGCTTGAATTGCTAATCTATCCATCAGTACTTTTACATCTTCGGAAGCAACCGTACCAGCCAGGTCCATAATAGCCTCCAACAAACCTAAACAGTTCAACTGTTGTGAAGCTAATTGGGTAGCCGCTTGGCGCATGCTAATGGGAAGTGCAGGAATTAATTCTTCAGGGATTACTTTTTTGGTGGGAGTCTGATTCATGTCTAACAATTCAGGCGAGGCGTACACCATGTGATATAGTACACTAAGTTGGCCTCGAACATGCATCCAAGGTTGAAGAAAGATTTGTACGGGAAATGGCTCATCCTAGTCTATGTTGTCAATCACTTGTACTATATATTATCTATTTATATTACCTTTTGAGCGTACTTCCATGATAGAACAAGTATTCTTAACCCGGTGGGGTCATACAACATAAATTCCGCTTGGTCTAACTTTGCCAACACGGTAATCCAATTCAGATTAGGATTCTTTACAAAAAAAAAAAAAAAAAAAAGAGTGTTAGATGTTGCTGCGCACGAGAGAGCTATTTTTGTTTCATTAGAAAAGAAGTACCTTTTTCAGAACAGCATTCACAAAGTTCTCGACATTCCAAGTCTGGCCATCTGCACTTCCTTGAAGTTTAGCATGTGTTCGAATCATCATGGCTATAGCCTTTGATACCGATTCCTCCGTCACATCTACAGTTTCCATGACCTGCATGGCGTTATTGAAAGTCGATAAACTAGCGTATCCTTCTTCGAATAGTTTTTTGCCCATCAAGAGGGTTTCTGTGCTGGATTTTTTTGACATGATATATAAAAAAAACAATTCTTGTTTTTTATAATTATTGTTTGTTTCGTATCTATTCAAAAATAAGTTTATACAGTTTTCTTACAAGGAAAGGGGTCTATTATACTTACTTTTTTCTAAAGAAATATGAAGAAAAAAAAAAAGAAAAAGAAGAAAGAAAAAAAAAAAAACTTGTTTACGCGTGGTTTTTATTTTTTCTTTTTTCTTTTTAGCACGTCATCATGAAAGCGATTCAAATACCGTCTTTGACATGAAAAGTGCTTTATAAACTATCTTGCTATATTATGTATTCACTTTTGGTACTCGGGATGTGTAAAGTGTACGATTTGTTGTAGGTCTCTTTTGAGTAGCTACTGGGTTTTCATTGAAAAAAATCCCTAGTTGAACATCACTTGGTAATCGCAGGCAAAAATAAGAAGAAAAAAGTATAGACACATGATTATGTATCTACGCACACAAGAAATGTAACATCTTATAAATGATGTGATTTATTTTTAATGTTTTTTGAGGAGTTTTACTATTGAGTTCATAGTGGTGAATGTTGCTGAAGCTCTGATAATTTATTGCTACGGCAATGCAAGTGTAAATGTTTGTCGCTTTTGTATGTATAAAGTATAAAACGATAATTACTTTCTGAATCAAACCATCATTTGCTTTATTTAAAATCATAAATTCTTCAAGCTTTGGCAAAGTAGGCGAATGATCCTTTTCATGAATGCATCACACTGCTGAAAGAGAAAGTTTCCCCCGTCTGTTGTGAATTCACACGCATGACAGCTGTCAAGTTATACCCACTGAGCTGTGCACAAGTTTGATACAACTTTTTTTCATATTATTTCCGCCCGCTAATCATTTTCTGCTTTTTGGTTTTATTTTATTTTTTCTTGGTACCTGTGAAAATGTTTTGTTTTTAGAAGCTGGGGAAGCAAAGCCTTGAGTGGTTTTGAACAAGTAGTAAATGACGTGGAAAGATAAATCAACAGCTGCTCCCTCGACAACGATCGAGATAAATGATAGAAGCTTGGCCAAACAGAGTTAGCATTTCTATTAATAATATAAAAATGATATCAATCATTGCAGTAATGAGAACAAAAAACCAGAAACAAAACAAAAAAACCGCATTTAAACTGGAAGGTGCATAACTGTTGTAATCCTATTTAAAGTGATGACATATGCTAAAACGCATGCGCTTATACTTGTCTTTGGCTGGTTTGCTTACCCACTTTTATATTATTAGCATAGATGAATAATGTCTTTTTTTTTGATCTGATTTTTTTTTTCTCTCACATGGTAGATAGGATATAAAACGAGAAGCGTATTTAACGGAATCCCCCAAATGTTTATTCTTCATTCTTTTAATTGTTTTTGTATTTTCTATATATGATGTTTAATAACAATCAAACTGAGCCATCCGAGAATATTGATATTCCTTTGGGAAGAACTAATAGTAATTTACTGTACCAGGACGATTTTCTGCATTATGGTATGACGAAATCATAATTAAAAAGTGAATATAAGTATATATACATATATTTACCCAGAGTTTTAGATTCGGGATTGTTCAATATGCGAGAGACTGCAGATATTGATGAACTCATGAACGACTCCCGATTTATGGCGTATCTTGGCTGTGCTTCTTCTAGTTTACCAGAACAAAATACTATGGTACCCCTCGAAATAACGACCACGACATCTGCCACTATTCCTCTAAAGAAGAAGCGACAGGGCATGAAAAAAGCGAGCACGCTTCAACAAACTAAAATTGGTAAATGTGAACATCCGAAACATGTGATGTATCGACAGGAAAAATACACGCTGATGCCAGCTACAGCTACAGCTGATGAAACATCAGCCATGAAGACTGTGCCGCGCAGAGGAAGACCACCCAAAGGATCCAAACCTAGCGAAGTGGATGAAACGCTAGCTTTACCTGTCCATTATCCGATTGTTGAATTAACTGTACGACCTTTACCAAAACGGTTAGAAAGGGTGGTTGGAAAAAGCAATATTAAAGTATGTTTGACATGCTTAAAGCGATCAGATACAGATGAAGAATACATTAATTGTAATTTATATATTCCACCACAACAAATTCATAAAAAAAAGTTATAACTAATAAAAAAAAAGTTTTATTATTGTCCCTCTTCTTCTTGAGGTGAAATGATGCCTTGAAATTTTGTGATGGGATAATTGACTAGTCTATCTTGACCTTCTGCGGTACTGTTGTACGACATGGATCTTGTATTTTTATTGCATAATAATGATACCGTGGAGGATCTACCTGATGATGTAACACTATCATCCTCTTCATCCTCTTCCTCTTCCTCTTCTGCTTCTTGTGCCAACTCAGGAGGTTGAATCCATTCCCAAGGTACCACACAAGGAAACATGTTTCCCAGTTTAGCAGCTCGATTGATCCAGTACGGTATTGTCTTGTTATTTAATCGTTTCACAAACTCTTCTGTAAAATGGTTGCAATTCCGCGACAATAAATTGTATGATGTTCCTGTAAATTCATCGGATAGTGTCAACAAGAGTTCTTCTACTTCTTTTTCTGTCAATTCTGTTGTTCCCATATCTATTGTCTGTCTATTTTTTTTTTTTTTAAACCAGGATGAATAAAAAAAAGAGTACATTGTTTTAATCATAATATGCTTTACTTTAAAGAAAGCTCTGGTATTCCAACCCGTGGTTCGACAACAAAGACACCAGTAACATTAGGTACCTCATGACCACCAAAACAATACTCTTTGCCGCATATTTCTACACCTGAATGAAAGACACCTATACATCCCAATTAGTTAAAACCATGTGTACATGTTGCTGATGGAGGTTTTGTATTACCGAAACCGAGTGCATAATATCCAAATTGGGTAACGTAATTGGGTTGAATCTAGATTTCAATGGATTAAAAAAAAAAAAAAAAAAAAAAAAAAAGTGTTGCATTTTAAAACAAACGTCGTGTCGCTTTTGCTTACCATGTCGTATACATTGACATAGACTGGATTATAAATAAGAAAAATAAATAGATTAGATGCATACAAATCAATTCGTTCACACTCGATTACCATGATGTTTTGTTGTCGAAGTCTCTTGGGGTTCTTCTGAGGTTTTAAAAGCACTTGTTAAGTATTCAAGCATGGTCTAAAAGTAATCTATATTTGTCTATATGAAAATGAAAATAAAAAGGTGTTTTATTAAAAAAAAAAAGAAAAATAAATATATATACCAATGTCCAAAAAAAAACATTTGTACAACCTCAAAATAATAAAATGTGCCGGCGCTATTTAAGGTTTCTAAAATAGGATCATTCAAAACAGTTTATGTCTGTCATTTAGTGGGCTCATTTGATCATACCATTGTTGTTGGATTCTGTCTGATTTTAAGTACGGCCTTTTTTTTTTTCGCAAACCAGCTGTATTTACAGTTCTTTACAAGACAGAATGAACCAGATGTAAAAAGGATAAGTAAGTTTCAATATATACAGATATAATAAAAATGTATTTGTTTTTATTATAACATTTTAAAATAATGTATTTTAAAATGCCATGTCTAACACAAGAGAAGCCTCAATACGGGCAGTTGATAAGATAATCAAGGTGGGTTGCTAATTGTAATGAGAAATAATCATCGTCTATGTGTTTTTGTCATCAGGTGAGAAAGTCGTATATTTGATTTCCACTGGACATGTATGATATAGTTGGGTGATGACTGTTTGGGTGTTTATCTTGAAATAATCGCATGGTTTCGACTATATCAATCTAAAATTTGTTTTATTGTTCCTTAACCCCCTCGTCCCCCAAAGCAAAAAAAAGAAGGGTTATCTTTTTTTTTTTTACTCTGGGTGAAAAATAGTGCTTTAAAGGTTATGGCTTGATAATCGAACAAAAAAAAGGGACAAGTCTCTCCATTGTCGGATCCAATTAAATGACAGTAACCTTTAAAGCTTCCTATTTTTCATCGTTGTATCGGCTGGTCGAATTACCGCCTTGGAATTGATCAATGCTGTTGTATTGAAATTCCATATTGCGATTATCGGCATTTGAACCTAACACTTTTTTTTTTTTTTTGTTTAGCCAAAGAACCCAACCATCCACTCCCCCCAATTCAACTTACGTTCATGTATCTTCCTCGGCTTTCTACTATGGGAACTAAATGCGTTGTCTGGTATATCTATGCAGAATACAAAGAAAATAAGTCATCATAACAATAACAATGTTTGTAAACATACCGTATTTAGATTTTAAATACTCTACTGAAGCCAATAAATCATTCAAAATCTATCATTATCAATCTATAAGTATTCCTTTAAGTTCCAATTGATATCTATCTATCTTACCTCTTGTTGATTCTCAGTGACCTTCCTCAAGTATTGTACTTCATTGGCGGTAAAATCTAATTTGGATTCCAAATGACCTGCTTTTCCTTGTAATTGATTGATTGCATCTTGTACTCCAGTGTTGTGTTGAGAATGCATACCGCCACTACCACCAGCAGAAACCGAAGCAGAGTCGCTGACAGGTGAATTTTCTGATGCCAAAGAAGATGGATCGACCTCGTAATCAGGACTGTTGGAAGGTAAGATCTCCATGGCACTGGAGTATCTTATTTGGGGTATTAATCGATTCCTTGGCGGTTTTCTCCTGATCTTGTGTAGCCTATCGAATCCTGCTTTATTAAACCAAGGATGCTTAAAATCCCAACGCTGTGTTTGTACTTCGTTCGTATTGATTTCTTCGTCATTGTTATTTTCATTGATTTTATGGAAATCGTACACTATCATTCAATCCGTTTTTTTTTTAGTTTTTTATACTTCATAACATCAATATAAAAAAAACTCACTGTTAAGCTGCCTGACAAAACTAGACCAGTTACAATGTTTGAAATAGCGTGGTAAAACAGTCCTGGAGAATTCAGTATTGTTAAAAACGGTGAATTGGTCTCCTGAACCTGTCCATGTAATCAAGTCTTGAGTAGTTTCATCATCTACCATGCTAAATAATAAACGGTTGATTCAGTTTGTACAACTGGGAAGAAGAAGAAAAACTCACTTTACAGAAAGAAAAAGAAAGAGAGAAAGAAAAAAAAAAAAAAGAAACTTACGAAAATAGTTTAGATATGAAGGCTGCATTTCTTGTTGGCGTCACTCTAAAGAAACGCTCAACAAAACCGTGTTTGCTCTGTGACTTTTTCCCTGCTTGTTGGGTACGATGTCTTTGTGCCATCTCGTGTTAAAACTTCGTTTTGATCTTCTTTATTCTTTCTTCCACTAATTAATTCGTACTTTCTTTTTTTTTTAATCTGTTGGGGGTGGGTGTATAAGGTTTATAAAAAATAAATAAATAAAAAGTATCTCAGGCCAATACTCTTTTTGTCAAAAAAAAACAAGGAAAAAAAAGAAGTTGCATAGATTTTTTTTTTTTTTTTTTCCTAATCCAAATCATTGGCAAAAAAAAAAAACCGTGACTTAGTTTTAACGAGACCGTACATTCTTTTTTTTTTAAGATCCAGATTCCAGTCAAAATAGGCCTCTTTTTTTTACACATTGAAACAAGTACAAGTTCATAGAATATGATGGATCTTTTTTTTTTTGAAAAAAAAATTGATGAAACAGAAGTTATATTACACAAATAGACCCTGGGCACTGATAACACGCCCATAATTGAGTCCACACGGCGTTATGGAGTGATAATAGTAAAACATTGCCTGCACAAAATGCTTTAAACAGGTTTTTCTTGAGTGTCTATTTATTAGGCGTAATCTGAAATTGGATAACGGGAAGTTCCGCGAAGGTCTCACCCCCCACTGTATGCACCAAACAGTCTGTTAAATGGCAGTACTATTTATCTATTATAAAACAAACTTTTTTTTAATTATTTCAAATAGATAATTTAAATGATTAGATAAACAAGCAGTAGACAAAATTCTGATGTAAACTAGTTCGCGTTTATCGAATATTTTTATTCTAAATAAAGCAAAACATTGAGTCTAGCTTTTTTTATGTCATTTTATTTAGAATGTTCTAACTCGCATCGAAAAAACAGGTACAAATCTTGCAAGCATACCAACCGTATACATTATATTCTTTGCCAACAAAGCCTTCAAGTATAATCACAAGGCCATTGTAATAACACGATCATTTAACATCTTGTATACTAAGAGGATTGGATGAATTCCACCAAAAAAACAAATTTGCGTGCTTAAAAAAAAAATCCAAACGCTCGGGAAGTTTTTAACATGAGGCCTGCATTGAGATAAGGGACGTAACACATTCTAAATAGTGAAAAACAGATCACCATGGAAACCGACCCTCCTCCTCCTCCCCCCCCCCCAACGAATCACTATAGGAAACAGCACTTACTATAGAGTACAGTGCCCGAGACAAAGAAGAAAGTGATTACAATCAGCTCTATGGAATAGTGTCGCACAAATTTACGTGAACGCATGAGATAGTTCTCTTTCTAACACAGCCAGACTGTGTCTAATTGGATCTAACAATTTAAAGCATTCACAACCGAGATTTTTGAACAACAGCAAGGTTATTCAAGGTACCGCAACTTAACCATTATGCGAGTCAAGTTTATACTCTTTCAGAGGGTTGTAAAAAAAATTAAAAAAAAAAAAAACTTGCCATACGCCAAGGAGTTTATGAAAGGTCTTTTATAAGAGACTTACATCTTATGGAACACAACCGATGATATTTTCCAACGCTATACGTTGCTGTTATTGAACAGGTTTATTTTATTGTGGAAGAGGTGTGAAGACCAACCACTTGTTATTTTCTTGGATGCGTTGATGCTCTTATTCATGCTATAAATGTGACGTTTTTTTCAAACCTCTGTGGCTTTAATGCAGTTTTTGATTTCGCGTTATCTTTCAAGAAAGCATCCAGAATGATGACCTTTTTTTTTTTGCAAAGCTTTGAGTGACAATTGACACGAAATTAGGAGACCCTCTACGCTCCTTTTTTTTTTTTTTTGGTGGAGCAAACTACATTGAAAAGTTCAGAGACTGTAACAAAAATCAAAAAAGACTGCCAAAATGACAAGCGCCTTGTCCCATCTGTAAATTGAATTCTCTGCTCAATTAAACAAATACCAGTTTATTCGTCTTGTATGCTGTTCAAGAATATACGAGGAAAATGAGTGATGCTACATTGAACCTCAATGGTAATGAAAGTGACCCTTTCATTGAACAAATCAGTGTAGCGATGATAAAGCAAAAAGAAGCCGTGTTTCACCACCTCTAAAAAAAGTCAATTCAAAAAAGGAATGCAATAATTTTTTTTTGGGGGGAGGAGGCGGAGTAGGGTTAGCCTGTGTGACACCTAACCTTTCTAAATCCATCAACATGACGTAGAATCAAAATAATATAAGCTGAATCTGAGTCATGGCTACGTAGGTTTTTTTTTTCTCGTGAATGAGAGCATATAAAAGGACTTGGCTGGATTTAATTACACTTTCTTTATTTTTTTTATACTTTTTACATACTCTTACAAAAAAAAAAAAAAAAAAAAAACTATATAGAATGGCACTTTATTACGGCATTGTTTTTGCGATTTTAACCTTGGAGGTAATTAATGATTTATAAACAGTAATTAAAAATACACGATTTCTAATTGATATATGGATATAATAGATCATTGCATTCTTCTTATTTTTGGTATGTATCTAAAGAATAGGATTTTATTTGAAGAAAGAAAAAAAAACTTACATTTGTGTGTGTGTTTTTTAAAACAAAAATAGTTGCCTATTCCTACACGTTGGCAAAAACCTGTGTTCCGCTGGTTGGCTACCTCACCTGCTGTAAGTAAACAAAGCAGGAATCACAAAATGATGTCATCTCACCATATTTTTTGCAGGTTGCTCATGCTCAATACATTATGAAGGTGGTGTTTGCGTAAGTTTACATTTAAAAAAAAAATTATACGAAAAAACCCCTACTTAACACCAAAAAAAAAAAAAAAAAAAATTAGTTTCATATTCGTACTTTTCTTGGGTAAAAATAAAATTCATGCTAACGAAAAAAAAAAAAAAAACTAATTTAAATAATTTTTTTTTTAAACAAAAAAAGATGCTGTGAATACTCTCAAGGCATTTTATGAAGTGGTGAATGCTGAAGAAGATCATACGGCACCTACAATGGCCTCTACTGACTTTAGAGCTCAAGTAGGCCAAGCAGCTAAAAAGTTTTACGCACAAAGAAATTTATATCTCACTGGATTTACCATGTTGCTTTTACTGTAAGTCTTTTAACGTTTATGTGTGTGTGTGTGTGTGTGTGTGTGTATGTTTCTCTTGACCTGATATTTATACTTTTCTCTCTCTTTATTAGTATTTTGAACAAGATCAAGAATATGTCTCTTGATTATATTAAGCTTGAAGATGAATTAATTCAACTTGAAGGAGCTGTAAGTATAGAAAATGAAATGGGCGAGGGAATGGTACTTTTTTTTTTTTATTCATCCTCATGTATTATCTTAGACTTCAACCGATCCTGCTATCAGAAAAGCCAGTCATGATATTGATACTGCACCCATTGAAGCTCATGTTACAAAGCTTGAACCCGTTGAACAAGCAAATGAAAAGAAAAAGGACATTTAAAAAACGGGAAATCTATAAATAATAATAAAAAAAAAAAAAAAATTTAAAACAGGAACGTTACATTATTTAATACACGAAGGGTAATACCAAAAAAAGTAAGAAATGACGCATAGATGACTTGTGTGCACACAAACACAAATGAATATTTTTTAACAGACTAAAAACAAAGTCAATTTGATTTGACAAAACCTTGTGCAACATACAACGCGAGAGAAATAAAAATGTCTAAATATAGGCAATTTAAAATAAATAAAAAAACTTTATATAAAAAAACCGCCCCCTTCTTCTCAGATAAAAAAAAAAAAAAAACTTTCTTGGCGTTTCTTCTTCTTCTTCTTCTTTTATTATCACACACAAAAAAAATGACGGTAGAAGTGTTAATCGATACAAATTTTGAAGCACCTACTGAGTTTGGACCTCATCAAGAAGATATTGAAACCTTTATTGAAAACAATGATCAAGCAGGTTTAATAAGGGTAAACCCAAGCCATTTGAACATTCACCACGTTCTATTATTATACTGACACTTTAGTGAAATAGTCTTTTAGTCATATGGTGGATCATAGTACACATCCTGATGCAACACTCGTTGGTAATACATTTCCCTTCTCTCCTCATTATCCCGTAACTAAGCTCTCTCTCTTTATGATGTATCTCTATAGAAAATGGTATCCATGCACCCTCTTTGGAAGTACCTAAACATTGGCATCGTCGTAAACTCAGCGGATGGATCCATGCTCATCTTGCTCCTCAAGGGTTTAAAACTGCTGTAGCCAAAAAATACGGTAACTTTGTTATTATCCGTTCGGTTCGTTAAACATAACCTTTACACACACCCCCTTTCCCTTTATCTGACCATCTTCTTTTACAATCACATAGACGGGAGAATATCATTACGAAGAAATGCCTATTTACACACGTATTGGCATGCACTTACTCTTTGGTGGATATTACAGAGGCAAAGGTAACAGGATAAAAAAAAAAAAAAAAGAAAGAGTTGAAATGACAGCTAAATTAGGTTTTTGGTTATTTTAGTGGTAGGTTCGAGTGTGATGCATTCTCTCTTTTTAAAAGAAACTTTGCGTCAAGGACTTTATTTTACTCAACCCGAGTCGGTGAACCAAATCCCTAGTTTTGTCCAACATTACACGATTGAAATGGATAATTATGTGATTTCAAACATATCCGATTATACCAATTTCAATGAATTCTTTACCAGAGCTATTCTTCCCGAAAAGAGGCCCATTGCCCAACTTGAAGACGAGGTAAACAAAAGAAGAAAAAAAACGATTTTAGATATATATGCTTTTTTACTCCCATCATGCTTACAATTTTTTTTTTTTTTTTTTTTTTTTAAAAAAAACAACTAACAGAACATTATCGTGTCTTCTGCCGATAGTAGATTAAACGTATTTACTTCCATCGATGCTGCGACTGAATTATGGATCAAGGGAAAAAACTTTACGCTTGCTCATTTATTACAGGATGAAACCTTGGCTGAAGAATTAGAAGGTGGATCGATGGCTATTTTTCGTTTAGCTCCACAAGATTATCATCGATTCCATATTCCTACCAAGGGTACAATTCAAAGTGTGACACCCATTGCCGGTACTTACTACACAGGTAAAAAAAAAAAAAAAAACCAGAAGCTAACTCGATAGAATTCGTTCTTTATATATGTGCACATTGACTCACAGACGTGTTTTTTTTTTATTACAGTGAATCCATGTACTGTTAATGAAGAATTAGATGTATTTACAGACAATCATCGTAGTATTACCAAAGTGAAGAGCCATCACGGGTTTCACTATGGATTTGTCTCGATTGGAGCACTTCTTGTGGGATCCATTGTAATGACACACGCTGAACCCCAAAAGGAGTTGGAAAAGGGTCAAGAAATGGGTTACTTTCAATATGGTGGATCCACAGTGATTGTGGTCTTTCCAAAGGATACTGTCGCTTGGGATGAAGATTTATTAGACAATTCCAATAAGTCTATTGAAACCTTGGTGCAGATGGGAGAAAAGATTGGACGTTTTATTGTTTAATCATTGGGTAAATAAATATCCATGTACTTTTGAATGTCTTCCAATACGTTGGTTGCTATGTATATATTTTTTTTTTTTTTGGATGGTTAATGTTTGATAATCGAATTGTTCTTTTTTTTTTTTTTTTTTTTTTGTTACCTGGATGATCTTCGTCAAGTCCGAGATTCCGAAACAAGTTTAAAAAACGAGCCACTTCAGCAGCACAAGGTGATTTCACGTGTTGAAATATATCTTTTGGACAGTTCATGATAATACAATGGATCACTCGCAAGCATAGCACAATTAATCTCTCACATTGATCTCTAAAGAAAAAGAAAAATGTTATAAAAAATAGAGGTTATATATCTTTTTTTCCCCCCTAAACTTACTGTCGAATATGGGGTCCTTCTTTTTTATACTTTATAAAATCTCGCTTAATATCATCCAATACCAAATTTGTCTTTGTGAAAATTAATTTGTGAATTTCCACAATCATATCTTCAGATAATTTAGCACGCGCCATGGAAAGTAAAATCAACATACTTTTCAAGCGTAATTGGAACCACTAAAAAAAAACATAGTAAGTACAATCATTCTTCGCTTTTTTTCCCCTGTGGTCCTTACATTTTGCCATGTCCATGGACCTTGGGAAGAAGTAATCATGTCTGTTAGACGATGTACAACCAGAATTGAATGATCCGCATATCCTTCCATGACTTGATTTCCCATAAAGTTGGTTTCTAATACGGATACTGCACCCAGTACTAAATCCTGTGGCCTTTCCATCCAAAGTAAGTTTAAAAAGTGTGTGTCTTCCAATAGATAATTAAAGCTAGAAATAATAATAATTTTTTTTTTTTTTAGAGGACTAGGAAAAACATGGATCATACACTTACATTGGTCTATCATTGATGGAACCGATGGAATAAAATAATTCAATCATGGATTGAATAATTTGAGTGGATTCAACAGGCATTTTCTTTTCGGAGAGTAAGACGGAGAGTTCGATAGGAGAAACTTCATAAATTTCAGATAATTTCATAATTTGTGTCATTGATTTCGATTGAATATCAGGTACTTCCATCATCAGTAGATTGGACTTGTTTTGATGATGGAAAGGGAATAGAGCCAATATATGTGAGATATTCTTCAGAATCGAATTTTTGTCCATGATCAAATCATGGTACAAGTAACCTGATGCCACAGAGAATGTACTGGCTAAAGTATTGACCGTCCAAATGATGTTTTGTATCACCTCAAATAGTTTATCCTTGATGCAGATGGTTAAGCATAAATTCAAGACATCCATTAATAATCGGATGGTCCCATCCGCATAGTCGGATTTCACCAGGTATTTCGACATGTCGGATGCTAATAGGCTTAGATTCTGTTGGATCTCGGGTGTAGAGCATTGACTCGCGTTGGGTATAAATTGCTCTGAAAACAGTCCGGCAAAATATTTGACGCGTGAAGGTGTTAAACAAACATTGATGTTTTTTGTATTATTATGGTGTTGTACATTCCAAACATTAAATAGAGGTGTAAATAATACAGTGTACAGTGTGTTCTACTCTCATTTTTTTTTTTAAAAAAAAAGAAAAGTTAAATCATCCTCTTTTTTTTTTTTTTTTCTTGTTTATACTTTATTACGTTTTTCTCTGTCTCTGTCGGTTTGGATCTCATTCTAAACTGGGATTTTGCCTTGTTTTTCACTTGGGATGATTGAGTGGTGGTTGGTGGTCGTGTTCGTGGTGGTGGTGGTGGTGGTTGTGTTGAGGATAGGGATTGTGATGTCGCTGTGGATGGTGGTGGTGTCATGAATGCCAATGATGACAGTGTGTGTTTACTAGGAGGAAATTCATTGATCCTTGGCTGTTGTGAATAGAAAGAGTGCTTGGGGAATGGGCTTGGTCTTTTATGACTAGGTGCACTATGTTGTGAGGGTGGTGGTGGTAATAGTGGTCGTTTTTGACTGTCAATAGGATAATCTTTTACATTGGCCAACTCTTTCTTTAAACGTAATAATTCGAGGTCCTGAGAGAAGTATGTCAACAAACAAAAAGGGTCCTTCTTTATGTTGAAAATAGGTACCTTTTTGTGAATGATATCTTTGGCTTCTGCCAATTCTTTTTTATGGCGTTCGTCAGCATGGCTAGCCGTTTGTAATTTTAGTCGCTGCAACTGAAATTTCAAGTCTTCTATTGTTCCTTCCTCCTATTAAAATTAAATTAAGAAAAGATTGAAACAAGTAGGGGGGTTTTTTTTTATATCCAGTTACTTGTGAATAAGAGGGTCGGGGCTGAGTTGTTTGTTCTGTTGACGGCGTGTCAGGTACAAGTGTTGATTGACCCTTGACAGGAATGGGCGACGTTCTTGTTCTTGTTGCTGTTGCTGTTGCTTGTTGAGTCTGTGTTTGTTGTGAGCTAAGGTATAACTCTTCTTCTATTTGCAAAGCAATGATATCTGCTGGTTCCAAATCGAACTCATCAAAATCGTCCACTTCCATGTGATCGTCCATTTTAAAATGACTATTTAATAAAATAAAAAAAAAAAAAAAAAAAAAGAAAGCGCGTGTGACGTCAAAATTGGTGTTCGGGTGGGTTTAGAATCCATATTTTATGTTGGAAATAATTTATTCTCTCTTTCCTTTGTACTACTTTTTTTTTTTTTTGTTTGTCGTTTTGCACACAAGGACTCAATCGACATTTGTGAGAAAATTAAAGACCAAGCTAGAATAGTGAATGAGTTTAAAGCAGTAAGTGAACTGGGACAATTAAAGAAACAAAGCAAACTTATTGATTGTAAAAAAATAGAGAGTAATGGTAAAAAGCAAAAAAAAAAAAAAGCAAAAGAGAGAATTGTGTATCAGTAACAAGGAAATAGATATTTAAACACGGTCTATTTATAGAATGAATATACACAAGATATAAAGATTATCTGTCAGAACAGTATTATGAAGGGCAGTCTGAGGGCGTCAGAAGGTCATCCTTGGAGAAATTGGAAGATTCGTGTAGTTGCAGTGGATCATCATCGAGAAAGAAAGGGCAAATTAACCTACCTATTAGACCACGTTGAATACATTTTACATCCGACCTTTGAGAACCCACGACGAGGTAAAAAGATACAAAAAAAAAAAAATTTATTGTGAGTGCATGTAACCCCTAAAAAATAGCAAGAGAACAGTCTTCAACAAGGAGCCTTATTTATTACAAGAAAAGGGCTGGGGTGAATTCGATATGAGAGTTGTCTTGTTCTTCACAAACAATTTGGCTGAACCAGAAAATATATATTTTGATTTACATTTTAGAGAGCCTACTTATACCATTATGCATAAAATTCATTTTCCTAATCCTTCTCCCGAACTGATCCATTTGTTGTCCATTGAATTACCTTCCAGTGATATCCTCATCAACCATAATGATCATATAAAAAAGCGTCGTACAAGTCCCTCCTTGACTACCAACAACACATCCAAAAAGATCAAGACACCACCTACTATGCCTTCACCTGCTCAATTCAGTGATGGTCCTCTTACACCTTCCTCTTATCACAACAAATACCCTTCTTCACCCGCCGCATTCAATCCACAATCCTTCGATACAGACCTTTTTACTCATTCCTTTGATTCCAATCATCATGATCTCTTTCGAGCTGTCCATGGTTACAAACACACAACCGACGATGGTCACATCATTGATGATATCTATGCCGAAAAGGACCTGGAAAATGCCAATCCGATACATACCAAGCATTTAGAAGACAATGTCAGGATAGCATGGGGGATACCAGAAGGTCTGGATATGCTCGAATTGGCGAAAAGGCTTTGTGCTGGCTCTTCTGAACAGACAGAGGAAATTGAAGCCTTGATCAAGGCACACAAGAAAGACGGTATCCAACTGCAAGAGAACGAAGGTAATTTATATATATATATATCTAACATTTAGTAAAGCATCTCACTAAATAAATAAAAAAACATCTAGATGAGTTTGTGGTGGATCTTTATTCGTTAGGCCCTGACTTGTTAAGTCAATTATGGGACTATACTGAAAAGAAAAAGATGAGTTCTTCTCGGACAGTTTTATCTCCCTTTTCACTAGTTCAAGCAAATACAATGATGATTGAAGACGAATGATAATAATAAAAAAAAAAATTTATTATTTTTTTTTTTTATAAACCTACACGGAATAACACTTGCTTTCCTTTCTTTCCCTTTTTCTTTCGATTACTGGTGTCTTCATCAAAATAATCTGATTCTAGGGCATTGTTATGACTGGATTCTCCCCATGCATTTGTATTATTCTTCTTGATCATCGCATTGATATCTGCTCTTCTACTCGAAGGACCAGCCGATGTGGGTAAAGCAGGAAATAAAGGCTCAAGGTCTACACTTTGCTGTGATGTCGTACCACTCCAAGGTGTCCTTGTCTGTTGTACCCCGTAATGTAAAGGAGGAGTCACAGCCCCTGCATCCACTGCTGCAGACGCCACTTTATCCCACACACCCGCCTTTTTCTTTTGTCCCGGAATAGGTCTTCTACCTTGACTAGTAGGAGGGGATTTCACAACCAACACACGTGGCGGTGATTCAATGGCAGGCGATGATGATGATGAAGAAGGGTTCTTTTTCTGGTTCCATGTACGGACCATTTCATTTTTCAAGGCTCGATTATCCACGAGGTCTTTTGCAGCATTCAACACTTTGGCAGTCATATCAGCATCTTCATGACAGAGTTCGTATACGCCATTGACATATGTCTCTGAGTCACTACTCAGACTTGTAAAGGCATTGGTCAATTGTCTGAATTTAACAATCTTCTCAAAACTCTGGAGGGTATTGGCGATACGATCTAACGCAGCTGCATGACGAGATACCATGCTTGAATCCGATTCATTGGCAGGAGAAGATCTTCCACTGTTGTTGGGATCTTCGCCCAAGGTAGGCCATTGTTCTTGCTGGGATAATTGAAGTGAACCCATTCTGTTTGAAAGAAAAGAGGAGGAGGAAGGAGAGGAAGATCCATTGATATCTGGGAAATCTTCAGCGGATAAGTTAAGAGGTGGACGACGTGAGTTCGATGGTCTCGTGTTGTTTCTTTGTTGCGCGTAATTTATATTGACATCCACACGACGTGCTTCACTTTGTTTAGCTCGTTGTTGACGAGAGATACCGTTACCATGTTCATCCACTTCATGTGCTTTTAAATCAATATCAGAATCAAATACAACAAATTTATTGTCCAAACATTCCTTGTATTGACAGAGATAATGTTCCTTTTTAAAATGTTTCTCCAGGTTATCATAGTTGGCATAGTATTGACTTTGAATTCCCTTTCTCACGCACAAGTGACATTGTTCATGTTTATCGCGACAATGTTCAAATAATTCATCGGCACCATAAAAGCGTGTCTGACAAAAGACACATTCGGGATGACCTGTGAATCCTGTCTCATCCTCCTTATTGAAAGAAGCATCACCGACCAGACGATGCTTTTGTAACTGTTCGTTGGTGTATAACGTATGTTCGTGAGCAAAGATCTTTTTATGACGTATACATAAATCACAACAGGATCGTTGATGACAGGTCTTGACATGGCGCTTTAATTCACCCCAATTCTCAAAGGCTTCTTCACAATCGTCCTGGGGACAATTGTATTGTAAAAGTACCATCGTGTCCTTGTACATGGCTTCGGTTTCGAATCGAATACCATATTTACTGTCATAAAATGGTGTATCCTCTCGTGTATACGCTTCATAGCTCTTTTCACTGTCTGTTGTGAACACGACTTTTTTAGCTTCTGCCTAATATTTTCATGTTAAAATATAAACTTCTTTATCCTTCCTCTCTTTTTTTTTTTTTTTTACCTTGCAGTAAGCACAATTCTTGGTGTTGTAGAGTACTCTTAAACGAAGTGTACACAAGTGACAAGTACGATGATCGCATGGTGCAACGGCATAGTAATCAATGGGACGAGCACAGATAAAGCAACCTTCTGCATCCTCGTCTTCCTCTTCCTCTTCTTCTTTGACCACTTTTTTAAACCCTTTTAACGGTACTTTCACCTGCTTTTTATCATCCTCCTTCTTTTTCGAAGGTTTCTTAAGAGTACTTTTTTTTTCTACATTCTTCTTTTGAGGCTGCTGCTTTTGTTGCTTGGTGTCGTTTGAGTTACCTTTTTTTTTAGTAGTAGTATCTTCAGCAGAACTGCTGCTCGACGCGTCAGGTTTCTTGTTCTTTGAACGACGATAATTACGTTTTTTGTTGGTCTCTGAAGAGGATGAAGGAGCTGCTGAACTACCTGGTTCCATTCTGATCTTTTTGTTTTTTTTTTTCTAATCAATAATAAAAAAAAAAAAAAAAAACGAAAAATGAAAGTGCTTTTTATATATATAAATATATTTTTAAACCGCAGTTAAACCAATGGATGATCAGTGGTGTTTCGGGAGGTTATTTACCCGCTTGACAGCTTTTTCTTTTTCGGATGGGTTGATCCAAACGGTGGTGGTGTGATTTAGCTCCCCCTATTCCCTAATGTGTTTCACACATAATGAGACGCATAATCACAATGAACGAGCTGTTTATTGTCAGCTACTACTACTCGATTAAGTTGATCAGGTGACCCAATGCTTTCTACATCACTGTCACACTGCCATTGACAAAATGAAATACTAGACTAAGCTCAAAAAGAAGCTAGACGACCCCCAAATCATGAAGAACAACAATCAAAAAAGAAAAAAAGAGACACACACACACAATATATTTAGATGAGCATGTATTTTTGGGGTCCCGTTCATTTCTAAATCTTTTTTTTTTTGAGAAAATGCAGTTTTTAGAGGAAAAGAATGCTTTTGTGATATACAACATACATTTTGTTTTTTTTCTTTTTTTTTTTTTTTTTACTTACACGAAAATAAAACACGGCAGATAAAAAAAAAAAGTCGCATTGGACAAATAGAAAAGCTGGTAAAAAAAAAAAAAAAAAAAAAAAAAATAGTGGGTGTCCTCGTGGAACCCACCGCAAAATTTTTCCTTTTTCCTCCCTCCTTTGACTTTATATTTTTTTTTTTTTTCTCTTGCTTAAAAAAAAAAAAAAAAATTCAAAAAATAGAAGAAAAAATGTCCAACACAACCTCAGAATACCCAGATGATGTTGTCAATAAACAAGACCAAGATGTGAATTTGCAAGAAGAAGATCAACTTACACTTCGCGCTCTTGTTTCTACTAAAGAGGCAGGTGTCATTATTGGTAAGGGAGGTAAGAATGTCGCCGAGTTAAGGGAATCTACTGGTGTCAAAGCAGGTGTTTCAAAAGTGGTTCAAGGCGTTCATGATCGTGTTTTGACTGTCAGTGGTACATTAGAAGGTGTCGCAAAGGTAAAAAAAGAAAGAAAAAAATTACATGATGATGATGATGATGATGAAAAAAAAAAAATTTAACATTAATATATTATTAGGCTTACTCTTTAATTGCCCGCACCATGTTAGAAAACCCTATATCTACTACCGCTACCACGACAACGACTACCACTACCACTAATAACGCCAGTACTACATCACCTACACCTGCCAACACAATTAATCCTGTAGTTACGTTGCGTTTATTGATTTCACATAATTTAATGGGGACTGTGATTGGTCGTCAAGGAGCAAAGATTAAGCACATCCAAGATATCTCTGGTGTACGCATGACAGCTTCCAAAGCATTATTACCTCAAAGTACTGAACGAGTGGTTGAGGTTCGTGGTACAGTCAGTGCTATTCAACAAGCTGTTGCTGAAATCGGACAATGTCTGATTGAAGACAAAGATAGAGCCTATGGCACAATTTTGTATAATCCATCCAAAGTCACTACCACTGCAAATGCTGCTGGTTCAACATCATCTATCTCCACACCCAATGATTTGAATCATAACAACTCAAGTAACAACAATCATAGACGTTCTTCTATTACACGTACAGGTAATGGATCCGATTTCAGTACCAGTGTGGATTATAATGGACGTCGTGCTTCTTTCAACAACAACAACAACAATAATAATAATAATTCCGATGTTCGTACCCAACACATTTCAATTCCTTCTGATATGGTTGGTTGTATCATCGGTAAAGGCGGTTCCAAAATCTCTGAGATTCGTCAATTATCAGGTTCGCATATATCCATTGCTAAAGTACCTCATGATGAATCGGGTGAGAGAATGTTTACCATTCAAGGTACTTCCGAATCAAATGAACGCGCTCTTTACTTGCTCTATGGTCAACTTGAAAATGAAAAAGAACGTCGTCTTCGTGGTGTTATGCAAGAAGATCCCTTGTTAGAAGATGCTTAAAAAAAAAAATAGGCATCTACTAATCTTTTACTCAACTCTCTTTTGTACCATTTTCTTCTCTTTCTCTCTCTTTCTCTCACAAACACACACCTTATTAAAAACACCTTTTTTTTTTTATATTTATACATATATATTATTACATCTATTTTTATTATACAATATTTTGTGGTAATTCATCTTTTGCTACTGCATAGTCAATCCATGTCATGTAACGAGAAGAAGACACTGACACAACAGTGTCTTGTCCAGGTAAAAACATGGATCGAAGACTACGTCTCATTGCTTGTGTATCCATCGTAAAAGAAGGACCTCGACTCACACCACTGTAGCGAAGATCCCAAAAATTCAATTTGGGTGCACCTTGACCTCCACAACACACCATATATCCATTCTCATGCATATCAGGCTTGATAAATCGAGATAACGTCTCTTGTTCAAATTGTCCAAATTTCAATTTAACTCCATCGAATCCAGGTACTCGTTGATCATAAATTAAGAATTGATCCGTTCGATTCGTTGTACTAAAAGTATACGTAAAAAAAGAGAAAAAAAAAAAATTGGTTGGTGTTCAATCCCTTCGCTTTCATATATATATATATTTTTTTTTTTATAGCAGTTTTTTTTTTTTTTTACGTGATCAACATGATGTTGGGGTTGGCTTTGCTTTGATTGATTTGACTAACGCGTTGTTGTAACCTTAATTCTCGAATGGTACTGTTCGATTGGATATCAAACAAAACTAAGCGTTCATCCGATCCACCCGAGAACAAAACGTTTCGAAACTTGTCATAATGAAGGGAATACACTGCTGACGTATGTTTAATATTTAAACGATGTACACCTGTTTCCAAAAAATTATCAAGAGGTGATTCTCGCTTTAAACCCCACAGATACTAAAAAATTTAAGGACGAGTTAAATTCGTTTTCCTCTGTCCCCCATTTGAATCCTATTTTTTTTTTTTTACCACGCTTTTATCATAACCACCCGTAACAATACTACATGCTTCTGAGTAACTCGAACTATAAGTGCCTGTATCCATAGAAGCAATCACGGATACACCATTCTCATGAGGTGTTCCTCTGAGTGTCTGAATCCTACCTTCCACATTTGTCTTTGTCACATTACAAATATGAATCAATTTCACAGGCTCCAAAAGTTTGGATGAAGGACAAAAGGCTAAAGTAGAGGGTGTAGCCCAACAAATATCATCAATCCAACTATCATACAAATGATCTTTTCCAATTGTCTTGATCTTTTTACGATCGACCGAATTCCAAAACTGTAATTCACCATCCAAGGATGTAGCAATCATCAATTCACTCATACCACGATCCATATGACGATCTGCGATATTGTAAAGTAAAGATCGTGGCTTTTTGGCAGACATAATCTCTTGTTGGTTACGACGTAAAGCGTACACATCCATTCTATCACTTGTTCCAAACTTAAATTCTACATTCATTCTTCTAGGTCGGGATGGTGCGATTGACTAATAATAATAAAAGAGGGGCTAAGCAAACACACATACATACACACACACACAAAAAATAAAACTTACGAATTTAGGACGAGGTGGAATAATAGGTGGAATAGGAGATCGCGCCGTCTTGAGTCTCTTTTCAACCACAGGCAGTAATTCTTCATCACTATCATCTTCAATCGTAATTCTACGTTTAGGTCGAGTATTTTCTTCAAACGGAGCAGATCGTTTTGCCAATTGTGGGGGTTCCTTCACAATAGTATGGCTAGGTATAGGGGGTATAGCGCTCGCTTCTACAAGTAAACTAGCATGATGTCCAACCAATCGAGTTGTTTTTTTGATTTCCTTGTTGATATTTTTCACTTTATCAAGATATCGGTTTTGCTTCGATTGTTGTCGTTGAAGCTAAATGTCATCCCAAAAAAATATCAGAAAAAAAAAAACTCTCTCTCTCTCTTACTATCAGCATTAGTATGTGTCTCTGCACACACTGTATAACGTACCTTTAATATCAAGGAATTGATGGTTTTTTGTGAAGAAGTGTTTACGTGTAACAATTGTAAATCATCCTCACTGCTGCTACTGCTGCTACTGCTACTACTGCTATCACTGCTATCGCTACTGTGAATACTACGATCACTATCCTCGTCAGGATCCTCGCTCTGTCTTCTTCGTGTTGAACTCGTAGACCGCGCAGTCGTTTCTTTAAGAGAAGAAAAAAAAAATTATTAGCCTCTCGTACATACACTCGAAAGGGTTTTACTCTTGTTTTTTTTTTACCTAATGTTTCTACTGTGGGTTCTAATTTTAAGGTGGAAGCAGAAAATAAAGAACGAGGCAATAAGGAATCTTTGTTCATGTAATAAAAAGAAGAGAGGACGATCGATGAGAACAAAAGTTGATAATAATAAATAAATAAAGAGGACAAAGAAAATATTTTTGTTGGGTTCCAGGTTTAAAAAAAAAAAAAAAAAAAAAAAGCTTGAGATTGGACGAATCAAAATGAAAGATATATTTTAGCTTACCTTTTTTAGACAAAAAATGGGTTTCTCATAAGGGTTACTTTTCATCATGAATCAGGCAGAAAGTATGGGATAGGCAAATAAAGTATTCTGAGGTGGGACGCTTGGATGTTTATGAAATTACGTTATAATTATGTTCTTTTAAAATCTCAAAGGGCGATCAAGAGCTTGCCCAAGTATTTAACATGCCATAATCTCCCGAAAATTTTAAATCAGCACCCTCCCCTCACAAGCAAAAAGACTCAAAACACTTTGGATCAAAACTAAAGAGCAAATGATATCTTCTTAGCTTAAAAGCAGTTTGGTGAAAACAAAGTAACCGAACAGTAAAATGTGTATTGCCAATTGTTAATCTTTATCATTTAAGCATGCTATGAAGGAATGGCCTGTATCATGTGTAGATATGGATTAATAAAACGGCATTTTTTTAGGCTCACAAAGTTTATCACCGTCTGTCCCTTATGTGAAGTCTGGCAGGGTGGTAAATAGGCAGAACTCTCCTACCTCCATTTTTTTTTTTTTTACAAGATAAACAGTGCTTTGTATAACAACGTCTTTTCCCTTCATACTTTCCGTAGACAACAAATGGCCATGCAAAGTGTTCTTACTTAACCTTATCAGATTGATCTACTGCTTGTATCTTTACAAGCTGTCAATGCTTGATTCTTAATTGGATTGGGATATTTATTCTTAGAGCTTGATCGTTCTTTCAAAAGATCTCAATCGTAGTCTTACAAGCATTTCCATGGTTACAGCGAAAAAACTAAGTATATTATTTCACTTTTTATCGACCTCTGAAAACAAAGCTGTTTTTGAAAGCCTATTTTTTAAGTTCTCTTTCATCTGTGTTGACTGTCGAAAAGGCTTCATTTATAGCATTTTAAAAAGAGACGATATTCAATTTAATTTGAAGTAAAGTAAAATGGCTGACTACCACCTACCGGACATCGATTGTCCGGGTATAATCCCGGCAGGTGGTATATGAGAGAAGTTACTATATATAGTATAGCTTAGGTGGTATATGCAGGTTCTCTTTAGGAATTGATAAACAAGAGCTGGCTTATGTCAGGATGATCTAATTGTTTATTTTAATCGTCCATATGTTTCAACCTTTTACATGTAATATTCCAAAGCAATTCCAAACTTGTTAATTGTCTACAAAAAAAAAAAAAAAAATCTTCATAATTGATACATGCTGTTACTGAAATGCTGATAGACTGAAAGGTCGCATAATAGTTTAAATTAGTAAACAGTCCTACATCGTGAAAAATTTTTTTTAACATTTGACATTCCGGTCTGTACCAAAAAAGTATAAAAGGGACGAAAAAGTAAGCAATTAATTTTTTTCTTTAGTGACCGTACTCTACAGGATCTGTATGCAGTATGTTTCAATTCTACGTTTTCTAAACTAGATACAATCCCAAAGTTAGTCGATGATTTTCAGTAGACCTTCTTTTGAGTGAAGTGTGCCGATCATTGTTCTCTGAACAGTTTTTGTCAGTTGATGATCTCGCCTGTCTTTATTCCAAGGACATGGCAAGGAAGGAGCTACAAGTCTGATAACTTCAATTTTTTTTTTAATATAAATTACAAACGAAAAAACAAGAAGCATAAAAAATCTAGAAGGCGATAGTGTCTTTCTATTTTAATTTTTTTTTTTTTTTGGCTAACACTAGGATGGTTTCAATTGTATGGTTTCTTACTTTTTAGCTTTTTATAATCGTTTGTAATTTATACAGGATTTAAACTTGGCACTTGAAGAAACCTTAATGCATCTCAACGAGAGTGTAAACATTTCAGATTTAAACGAACAAAGACTCAATAAGACGGTATTAATTAACACAGGGGTTGGACTCTTCACGTACGTACTATTCTATCTTGGTTACAGATAAAAGATACGAGTGATAATAATATGAGGCAATACACTACCCTGAATATTAATGTAAAAACGTATGAGGTGGGTGTTGCTCATATTCCCATAGGATGGTAAGCTGTAGAGTTAAATAGAAACATGTAGCATTGGGGTTTCCGTAATAGTGTTTCTGCAGGGTATTCCGTGTAATTTCCCTTGACAACTGAAACACTATAAACATGGAGAAAATGCAAATGAGATCATGATGTTTAGAGTGAATATACGCTTGTATGGTTTATTCTATAAAAAAAAAGACTAAATAATTATATGACATGAATGTTTAGATTTGGTCACGTTCCTTTAAAAGCTGAGTGATATGCTCACTGATGGTAAATTGCTTGAGTACATCGGATGACAAGTGACTGGCACCGTTGACTTTACCAATACACTAATAAAGAAGAAAAAAAAAAAGTTAAAAAAGAAACCCATGGCTGTGAGGGAAGATGTCCCAAAAAGTTGATTATTTACCTTTGCAGAACCACACCAGCAATCAAATGCTTGAGCTTTAAAAATAAAAAGAAAATACCAAAAAAGTAAATAAATGATTATTTAAGAAACTACAAGTTTTTTTTTGAAATTACCCATGTCCCATTCGGTAGAAGGATAGAAAAAGTCCAACTCATCACCTTGCTTGATATCTTTTAAGGCCACGATGGCTCTTTGGGTAATGTTTAAATAGGTGGAAGGATCGCAAGAGTGGTTCAAGTAGAGTAAATCACTGTTTAATTCGACATGTTCTGTGGCGGATATTTGAACTGAAGAATAGCGTTTGGGTCCAGGGGTGAGACCTGTCAGATCGACAATGACAGCATCTTTAGCAAAGTCACGTTCGGCAACGAGTTTACTGGTGAAGGACTCGGGATCACCTTGACGAACTACTTTAAAGAGACCGGGATGAGAAGGTGAAGTTTGCATAGTTTTGTGTGTGAAAAAAAAAAAAGGGTGGTAACAAAGAAAGGGAAAAACTTTCACCGAAGCTTCTCTTTTTTTTAAAAAATCACGCTTTTAAAAAGGGTCCCTTTTTTTCTTTCTTTTTCTTATTTTTCCACGGTCTTACAATAATATAAGCAAATGGTAAAGCTGAAAAGAAAGTCTCTTTATACTACAACTCACTCTTTTTTTTTCTAGTTTAATCCTACAGCACCTCAAGAAGGTATGAGATGAAAAGAACACGCCAAAAAAAGAAAAGAAAATAGTTTAACCCATTAGAATAGCTCAAGACTTTATTGATTTTGTCAACAAGTCACCTTCTCCTTTCCATTGTACTTTTGAAGCCGCAGAAATTTTAAAGAAGGCTGGCTATAAGGAAATCAAGGAACGCGATAGCTGGAATAATGGGCTCATTGAACGTCAAGGTAAATACTATTTTACACGTAACGGTTCAGCTCTTGTTGCTTTCCAAGTGGGTGGAAAATACAATCCTGGTAATGGTTTCTCCATTATTGGTGCTCATACCGATTCACCTTGTCTCAAATTGAAGCCTGTCTCCAAAAAGAACAAGTCCGGCTATCTTGAAGTCGGTGTACAACTCTATGGTGGTGGTTTATGGTATATATATATATATATTTGCCACTAATCCCCTGAAATCTAAATATTGACATATGCAAATTTAGGCACACTTGGTTCGATAGAGATTTAAGTGTTGCTGGCCGTGTTTTGGTTGAACAAGAGGATGGTACTTTTAAACACACCTTGGTTAAGATCGACAGGTAACAAAAGAAAAAATTCATACAAGTCCATGAATATTTATACAGTTTTCATGTAGACCTATTTTACGTATCCCTACCATTGCTATTCATTTGGATCGTGGTGCTAACGAAAGTGTAAGATATTTTTTTTTTTTTTATTATTAAATTAAAAAATGAGATCACTTACATATTTCATTTTACAGTTCTCTTTCAATAAGGAGACTCAATTGGCCCCTATCCTTGCAACCGAAGCCAAAGCGTAAGTAAATTCTTATTGAAAAGGGATGATTTTGGATGAGCTAATAAATAGAAATGGTCTTAGTCAATTAACTGGTATTGTTGCTACGGAAGGTGTTGAATCTGAAGCCCATCATCATCCTTTATTGATCCGTGTTTTAGCCGATGAAATGAATGTCCAACGTAAGTCATTTTACTCCTAGAAAAATTTATTATTAGGGGGGGCAGTTTCTAAGAGACTTGTATTTTAGCCCAGCAGATTCGTGATTTTGAATTGGCAGTGTATGACACCCAATTATCCACGATCGGAGGAGCATGTAATGAATTTATTTTCTCACCTCGTTTGGATAACGAAGAGATGAGTTACTGCGCCATTCGAGCCTTAACGGAAGCCACAGATATTGAAAACGATGCAAATATTCGATTAGTCGCCTTATTTGATAATGAAGAGATTGGATCGCAAACAGCCCATGGAGCCGATTCGAATCTTTTACCCGTGACATTGCAACGTTTGGCCAATACACATGTGGTGGATTGCTCCGATGTCTCATTGACAGCGTTTGAGGAATCAATCCATAAGAGTATTTTGGTGAGTGCTGATATGGCACATGCTTGGCACCCTAACTACTCTGACAAACATGAAGAAAACCATCATCCTCAAATGCATAAGGGTACTGTCATCAAGGTGAATGCAAACCAACGTTATGCTACCACAGCTGTCACAAGTCTAGTTTTAAAGGAGTTGGCTAAGAAGCATCAGATTCCTATTCAAGTAAGGTCTCCCCCCTTTTTTCCATGATTTGGTTGCTAAGGACTGACATTTTTTTTTTTTTTTATAAATAGGAATTTGTTGTTCGTAATGATTCGAGTTGTGGCTCTACTATTGGACCCATGTTGAGTGCTAAACTTGGTCTTCGTACTGTTGGTAAGATGATATACAGAATGAATAAAAGAGAGAGAGGTAGCTGAAAAAAAAGAGACTTATTTAGATATTGGTAATCCTCAATTGAGTATGCACTCGATTCGTGAAATGGGTGGTACAGATGATGTTGCCCATGGTATCAAGCTTTTACGTGTAAGTATTTAATTTAAAATGAATTTAAATGATGTATGTTATTCTGACTTGTCTTTATCAGGTATTTTATGAGGAATTTGCTGTATTGGAGCAAAAGTTCATTGTGGATTAGGGGGTTTCCATTGTTCTCTTTTTGTGAGAAAAATAATGGCTGAAATAAATAAAGAGCGGAGTTTATAACGTACCTATCAAACTTGTTTTTTATAGAAAAAAAAAAAAAGTTCTGATTTTTTTGGGCTTTTTCCCTTTCTTTTTTTCTTTTTCTTTTTTATTCATACAATGGAAGATACTGTAACCGAAAATTTGTATGAGGTACTTGGGATACCCAAATCAGCTACAACTGAACAAGTGAAAAAAGTGTGTTCGTATTTTTTATGTATTGTTGATTTATTATAATAACATTTTTTACAATGATTTAGGCTTATAGAAAATTAGCATTAAGATACCATCCTGATAAAAACCCAGATAGTGCTGATAAAGTAAGCAAACAAATAAAGAGCCCAAAAAAAATAATGATGGGAAAAGTAATTCTTTTTTTTTTTTATCAGTTTAAAGAAATCAGCCACGCGTATCAAGTGCTTGGAGACGAACAGAAGCGAAGAGTATATGATCGATATGGTGAATTAGGGTTGCAGATGATGGATACAGTTGTCAGCCCATTATTCAATCCAGAAGTAGAATCCATGTTATGCACACTGCTGATGTCTACTTCACTAGTGTTTAGTTTGACCATTATATTTTTGGTGTTTTTAACAGTTCGGATTGATGAATATGTAATGTGGTCATGGTCCGTTGTCTGGATACCCGCCTGGATCATCAATGCGATGCTTCTTTATACACTCATTCAATATGTCCTCATACACAAAAAGAAGAAAGAAAGTGAAAAGGAAGACGAAATGGAGGAAACAAAAGAAAACGAGAAACTGCTGGACAGATGCAAAAAGGCTATCCTCTTACTTAATTTTATCTTACTCCTCTTGTTTCAAATCCTGATTGTAGTACGATTAGATGGAAAAAGCATGACAGCCTGTGCTGTGTTTATACCCTATTTCCTATTTGAAGCCATCCATTTCTTTAGTGTGGGCTTAGAAACGCTCGTGGGATGTTTGGCATTACTGTCAGTGGGGGAAAAGAGTCGATTGGGCATCTTTATTTTTAGTCAGCATTGGTTCAGCCTATTACGGTTCTGTCAGTTTTTACTGATTCCCTTGCGTATCGATCTCATCATCTATTGTTCCTGGGGTCTTGTATTTATACCAATGTACCTTATCGGTCTGAAATGGGCGCTTGAATTAGCCTACCGTTATTATGTCTTTTCAAATATGCCTCAGCCCGACATTGCTCACCAAGGAAAAATCACTGTGCTTGTGGGCGTCGTGGTATTTACCATCGTCAGTATCTTGTTTTATGCTCTGGTAGGTTTGATAGCTCAACGATTGGATGGTGTCATCCATGTCAATATGTCAAATGTCTTTGTTCCTCTGTTTATCGTCTTTGTAAGTCATTGTCTTCTCTTCACGCCCTGAATTCAATTTTATATTCATTTTTTTTTTTTATATATAGTCCATGTTTTTGTGTTGTTCCGGATGCTGTCTTCCGTGTTTGTTACGCGTATCGGCAACGTCTGATCTAGAAGAATCCGAAACTCAACAATTGGTAGATGCAAGCAGACGAATCACCGCATCATAATTAGAAATTCTTTCTTTTTTTTTTTGTATTTTTCTTTTTTATATATACATATATTACATTTTTCATCTCAACATATATACACGCGCATAAAAGGATGTGAGAGGGTTAGGGTTTTTTTTATTTAAAGCTGTACATAGAAAGTGAAGGGAATATAAGATGTGTGTCTGTGTGTGTGTGTGTGTGTATTTAGATACTTGCGCCCGCTGCAACCTTTTCTTGTACGATGTCATCCAGATAAGGTTGTTGTCCATATTTATTATTATTATTGTTATTATGTTTGATGGAGAGGTGATTGGTATGGGTAAGATGAGCACCTGGTAATGCACCTAATCGATTGACGATCTCCTTTTCGATTTGAGGATAGATTTCATCACTGGTGTTACCACGTACATTCACCACGACGTTTTGGTAATGGTCTAATAAGGGTAAAGCCATGGCGTGATGTTGTTCTAAGCGAACCTTGAATACTTCGGGTGTATCATCGGGTCGTTGAGATAAAGGTTCGCCAGTAATATCGTCTACACCTGCAACACGAGGTGGATTGTACGACAAGTTGTACACTCTACCTGAAGGAATATGAATCCAGCGATCTATGGTCGTTCTGTAAGTTAGTCTATCACCAAAAAAGTCACCTCGTTTATTCTTATTTTTTACCCATGATTCTTTGCAAAATAATGTCTTCAGGTACTTCTAAATTGATCACTAAGTTTAATGGTTGCATAATTCTGTTCAAGGAAGCGTCTAATGCCAATGCTTGATTCACGGTTCTTGGAAAGCCATCCAAAAGCCAGTTCTAATATAAAGTGGGGGGTCAGACATATTTCAGACGTGAGACAAAAAAAAAACCAGAAAAAAAAAACGTACCGTGTTACCAACATGCAAAAGTTCTTTATCAATCAGGGAGATCAGTAAATTATCCGGTACCAATTTTCCATCTGCCACATACTGACGAGCTTGTTGACCCAACAGCGTGTTTTCGGTAATGTTTCTACGTAATAAATCTCCACTGGATAGATGAGAGACACCAAAATTCTTTTCGAGACGGCCGGATTGTGTACCCTTTCCTGAACCCTGTTATATGCTTTGGGTTTAGTTTCATGACTTTCTCTCTTCTCCCCCCCCCTTTCCCTGTCCCCATACTTACAGGACAGCCAATTAATAAAAGACGCAAAGGTTGAATGGCGTTGGTTGGACAGTCATGAAAAGAACGACGCAAAAAGTTCTTTAAAACAGGAAGCCGACTACGAAGCATGTTGGATATTGTAAAGAAGAAAAGAAAGGAAAAATAAAAAAGAGAGGGAAAATAAATTTTATTTTTATTTTTTTTTGTTAAATCTAGTCACGATAAGATGAGCAACTGATTTTCCTCTTTAAGTAAAAGCGGAATGACAATACGCTTATAAATTATGATGGGAAAAAAAAAAAAAATGGGGTTTTAAAATTTTTGACGTAAGTTATTTTTTGTTGTTGTTGTTTGTTTGATGTAGTGGTGGGCGCTTTTTTTTTCTTTCCACACATTGCATGAACTGAGTCAATTAAACTGCTTTTATATATACTCTTTGTGTTTATTTTTTATGGATACGTTCACATGCAGCATTTCACATATACGCCTTTTCACGTGATACCCTTTTTTTTTTTTCTCTTCCTTTCACAGGCTGCTTTATTTGCGATGTGTAATAGTAATTCTGTTCTAATATCAAACTGGCTGATTTACCAAGGAAAATAGAGCCCATTGGTATGTATCAGAAAAACTTTTTTTTTTTGTGTTTGTTCACAAGATGGGTTTATTTACAGTTAAACGGTCATTGCAAGGATGGAACGGCCACAACGGTAATGGCCGGGAAAGATTGCGCTCAACCAATGGTATCAGCAGTCGTCAAGACATGATTTTATAGAAACCATGGCAATGGTCGCTAACAATGAAAAATAATTTGTCAACAATCGTAATGTACGTGACAACTATCTTTTCTATGAGACAATAAGGTGTAGAGATATTAGTCATTTTTTGTGAGATAAACCTTGTCTGCGTATAAGAAGAGATTTATTCATGAATTGATGCAACCAACAAACACACTGCTCATGATGGTAACAATACTCCAGCTGTTGACACTGTCCAATGATACGTCATTTTCACACACATGTATATACGGCATAGATAGTTTTTTATACGTGTAACCGGAAAAACTCATTCTCACCGACCAAAAAAAAAAAAAAAAAAAAAAAAAAACTGTTCGTGTCTCACTTGTCAACATGAACACACATATTTTGTGTATCTTTTTTATACATTTTCAGAATCTCCCGTTACGCATGGTATATGCATTGTATTGCGTGAATGTTTATATTTGAAATTTTTTTTTTTTTTTTTTTTTTCTTTTTAAAAAAAAACAGTGTTGTTTGGAAAAGTTCTTTTAAATTATCTAGTAAAAAGCATGAGGAAGGATGTTCTACATCTTTTTAAGTCTCACCGGTGGGGACAAGGAAAAATTTCTCATTAGTTGTTGAAAGACATGAGAGTGAGTCATTGCCCTGTTTCCATTCCTCTTTCTAGATGGTTTCAGCCAATCAATATTGAGTGGATATCATTAAATTCTTCAAGGGATGGAAGTAGGTCAGATATGCACAGGACCTTTAAGTGATTAAATATGTAACAACTCTAGATTTACTTTGAACAATAATTTTCAAGTTTGTCTAAAGTAGTGAAATATACTACTTGTTGTACCTGAAAGATATAATCAATCACAAAAGAATAATTTTTTTTTTGTCGGGATTAGATTCATGGGATTGACAAGATTGTCTTGTAAAGAGTGTTGTTTCCTTTTAGTGTCGTATGCGCTTTATAGAATAAAAGAAATACATTACAGTTGAATCTACCATTTTTTTTTTTTTTTTTTTTTTTTTTTTTTTTTTTGAAGAATTATCATTGACAAGTGGCTACGCAATTTTTTATTTTATTTTATTTTGCTCGTCTATTTAGTGTGAGTATTTACCGCGGCGAATGGGTTGTGTGCCCATAGCTTTTTTTTTTTTTAAAAAAAAAACAAAGCAAGCGGGGGGATGCAGCTGAAATTAAAAAATAAAGTAAACATTACCATTGTTCTACTTCAACGATACAAATTTGGATTGACATAGACAAAAGAAAATATCAGGAGCAGTTACAGGATCCTATAATATTGTAGTTACATAGGATGTAAAAAGTAAGAATTCGCTTTTATTTATACTCTTATTATGCTTTGACTCTCAGAATTGAAATCCGCTTGTGACACTTGCCTCATCCTTTTTTATTAACAGAATTCAACAAATTTTTTTTTTTTTTTTGTAAACTTTATTTCTAGCATTTGTGATTAACATGTATTCTTTTGATTTTACTGCTTTTACCAAGGAAAAAAAAAAAAAAAAAGTTTAAATATGTTTTATTTTTAAAATAATTCCGAAATCTAATCTGATCTAAGCGGAGATGAATAATGGAGGGTGGTGAGGTATAATACATAATGAAATGCCATGGCGTTTAGAGATGAAATGTATAAAGAAAGGTATATATATACAAATAAGAAGAGAAAAATGATTGAAGGAGGGCGCGGGAGGAAAAAATTTATGCCCATTTACCAAGCAAAGCCATCAAACCCGCACCACAATACATGGACATGAAACAAATGAATTTACGAGTGAAAGGAGATTGACGGAACTCGACATTTTGGTTGATATCTTGGCTCATTAAGGAGATATAGGCATTGTAGAGTAGAATACCAGCCGATAAAGAGTCGAGGATAGCACTAGCGAGCACAGAAGAACTGGAATTAGGGTTGAAAGAGGAATGGATACCGATACCAATGGCACAACCAATGGGGGTCATGATCATGAATAAAGTGCCCATCAGAGCAGGTCGACGCCAGCCTGCGATATTCATATCATTAATACGCGTACCCAAGGCCACACCTTCAAAAAACTGATGAAAGACAAGTGCGATCAAGAGTGTGATGAATTCGTCGGTACCTGTATTGGACAGTGTGATACCGACAATGATGGAATGCATGACAATACCCAATTCCAGGATCAATGTACCAATATGTTTTAATGGATCTCCTTCTTCAAAGAGACCGGCACTATGAACATGACCTTCGTGATCATCAACAACTAAACGTGGATCAACAGGTGAATTACGGGCGGTGGATTCAGATGAGGATGAGGACTTGGTCTTGTAGCCAAGTTTTTCGATATCGTTACATTGATTCTCCTCTAATTTTCGAGCACGAATACGTTCAATGTTGGAAAGAGCAGCGAGTTCTAAAAGCTGAAGTGCAAAAGATGAAAGCATACAAAATACACCGGCAAATGAACCATAACTTTTCCATCCCTCGCTGAGACAAGGACTATCGAAATTTTCCAGTGCTTCAGGTAACATGTGCACAAATGCCGTGGCTAAAATCACACCTGTACCGACTTTTTTTTTATTATTAAAAAAAAAAATGTTAGTGGTGAACATGAGTAAATTCAAATACAAAAAAAAAAAAAAAGAACTTACAGAACTTTCCCATGGTCAATAACCATTCTCGATAACTTCCTTTGTCGTAAGGGGATATTCTGTGCATAATGATAGGAGTGAAGACACCTTGAAGAATGAAGTTCAGTATATTTTGGATCACATAATCAAGGGGGTACAGACTTACCGAGTGCACTGGTAACAAGGATAATGAATAAAGCGCCAACTCGTAATGACATATTATAATCAGTAATTGTTTCTGCTGCACATTCTTCATTTTCTTCTGCTACTACTGTTTCGGTCGCCACTTCTATATATATAGAAAAAAAAAAAGCTGTCAAAAAAAAAAAAAAAATATCTCGAGATTTTTATTATTATGATTGTATACCTTGAGCCAATGCACAAGTGAATAATATACAAGAGATCAGTAACAATCTCAACATGATGATATGAGGGATGCAAAAAAAAAAAAACAAAAAAAAAATAGAAAAGAAAGGGAAAGGTGAATAAAAAGTGAACACAATTTTTTTTTTTTTTTTTTTTTTATTAATAACTCGTAAGGTTGTGTTTCTGTGTACCCTCGTAGTTATGTGTTTTATATCGGAATTTAAAATATTCCGCCAATCATTAGCGAAAATTTCTCGTTCGAAATCAAATAAATTTCTGGTCCTGACTGTCAACTCTGGGATCCTACTCCGATCACGGATTTCATTGGCCCAAATTGTTTAATGGATGGTGCTTCCCTATCACTAAAATATAAACCTGGTTAAAAAAAAGTCAAACAGGCATGCAGGTCCACCTGGTTGCCATATAGAGCACTTTGGATTCACATATTGTAAAATTTCATTCCTTTAGGCAGTAAATTTTGTGAAGTATGACTTGATCCTTTGCTTCTAAAGAAAAAAAAAAAAAAAAAAGCTTCAGAATATCAATCATACTGGCTTTTCGAAAAAAAAAAAAAAAAAAGTCATTCGATCAATTGGTACGATAAACCGATAAAACGGATCATTGTATAACTGGATTATTAGTTGTCAATGTCATGTTGCTTTTTAATAATGAAGTCATTCGCTATCTGATAATACCTTAGTACGTCAGTAGCTTAAAATACAAATAGTTTAATAAATTAATTTACCGAAAATATAGCGTCTTTTACAAAGAAGAACTCTGACAAAAAAAAAAAAAAAAATTTCTAAACCTCATAACGTGTTTGTAATACAGGATAATTAAATGACCAATTACTTCATTTTTACATGCAGTGATAAGATAGTTCACGCATACCTTGGTACACCCACTCGGGCCACATTATTCCATAGTTTGGTCCACTCAAGGCAGTTAATTTATGTACGGGCGGTATTGAATAGTTTGGCCTGAAGCTCTTAAAAAATCCCATCAAAGTCTCGGAGGTACAACCTTGGATAAAGATCGTTCCTTTTTTTTTTTTTTTTTTGATTACCCGGTTTATTGATACCGAAGACAGAGAAAGAAAAGGCTGAGAAGCTACACAAAGATTATTGCAGGCTCTGCTTAATAACAATAAGAAAAAAAAAAACTTCGGGAAACTGAACCGAGAAAGAATGAATCTGGGCCAAACATTTAGAAAAAAAAAAAAAAGCTTAGTATAATGGCAGTTGGTGAAGCGTCGCTTCGAAAAGCTTTTGTTATTTATCTCAAAGTCTGTTTGAGTCTGTCTAAAGATGTTTTTCCGTTCTCTATATTCAATCCTTGTCTTCTTAGTATCTACACAAAATATGTACTACATACTCCTGAAAATGATACAAGTGCATGCGTTCGGGTTTACTAATAAATAGCCCTTTACACCGTAGCAATTATTATCCGTATATCGTTTCACATAAACTTATGACTATCCTAAAATACGTGAAAATTCCTTATTAACCATTTGAATATGAAGCGAACTGAGACAAATTCAAAGAATGGCATTTTGTTTTTAATCTTGAATTCATGAGGGTGAGGGTGAGGGGGCAACTGTGACAAGAAGATATACAAAGCTGTTTATTTGGAATAATTGATTATGTGCCTGTTGAAAAAAAAAAAAAAAAAATGAAAATAAACGTCTTACCTTCGAAAGATAATCCATCTCGGTTTGTCTGGTCTGGTAGTCTGCATTGACGTGAAAAAATTACTTGAGGTGTCATAAAGCCTTCATTACGTCGAGTAGGTTTTAGAAAGAGGTATGGGAATAAAATAGAAATACAACAAAATTAAAGATGCCGTCAGAGTTTCTGTTGCTTTTCTCTCTCTCTCTCTCTCTCTCTCTCTCTCTTTCTCTTTCTGTCACACACACACACACCGTAAAGCCTAAAAAAAATGATAGTGAATGCAGCCACTGTTGGAAGGTATTGGATCATATATAGCCTGTTCACCGGACACATACGGGCTCTTGTAAGATTTGGTTTACAGTCTTACAAAAGGAGTGGACAACATCAACTTCTACCACTATCGTTACCCGATTGTCGGTCTGTAGAAGAAGCCGCTTTCTCCCATCTCGATTTATGGGATGATAGGTACAATAGAAAACAGTTTTAGTGATAAATTGTAGTTAACACGATATGTTGTGCTCTCATTATGACCTGAAGGAAATTCCTATACTATATTTGACATAATCTTATGTGATCATGACTTGAAAGAAGGTTTTTGCTTGTATGTTAAGATTAATTACGTACAGAAGCTTTAGAAATTTCCATGGAAAGCTAAAGCGGGTGGGAGAGAGGAGGAATTGAACTGTTCTTTAGGAAGGCAATTATTTGTCATTAACCCGCAGGAAAAGGCTGCTGTGCTCCTGTTTTCTTGTTTTTTTCTTTATTGGAAATACGATTTATCAACATACATTCATCCAGTTTACTTACTCTTAAACCATAGGAAATCAAAGACCTTCTCAGTATACGTTTATACGGGTTACCACTAAATACGCTATTTTTGATCATCTTTAAAAACCAACGACAAAAACAGTTTCTAATAAAAAGTCCAGTGAGTGTTCTTATTTACTCAGATTTTTCGTGGTCTGGTATGGTACCTATCATCCATTCCAAAACTGTGATAGACGAGTAGCGATCAAATACGTATATATTGCATAATGCACTTGATTTTATCGGTAATGCTGATGGAACAATCTATCACAGCCTATCCTCCCATTGGAACAATTTGGATCTTTTTTTATTTGCGAATTAAATTTGATTGTCAGTCAGAAAGGGGAGGGGGTGGGATTGCTTTGTTTGTTAATAAGAGTAAATGATGTAAATCATGCTTTGAGTAATTTTTTTTTTTTTGATGTGAGACTAATTAGTGAATGTATTAATAGTTTCTCTGCCTGTAAATTCAAATAGGCATTCTGTCTCTATTTACCTGAATTGTCGATTGCGATTTGTTCACAAATACATCAATGACGTACTGATACATGTTTTTATAAGATGACGATATGACGACCAATGACACATGGATGAAAATCTGCAATGCAAGTAAAATGAAAAAAAAACAGAAATAGGTAAAAATGCAGATAAAAAGATTTTTTATTTATTATAAACATTTTTGACAAAACACCAGCGATTCACCTTGAGCACCTTGTTTTGTTTTAGCAGCGGAATCCAATTGCTTATGACAGGTGGTACAGGCTAAACATTTTTTATGCCATCGACTTGCCAAAGGGCCCGGTGTATCATCCATAATGGAAATACTATGACGACACCGAGGACAGGTTTTGGCACCACCTAATTTCGGTCGACGTTTCACTTCGATTGTGGGTCGCACTTCCATCTCTTGACGTCCTATTGTTGTTGTTGTTGCTGCTGTTGTTGTTGTTGTTGTTGTGGTGGTGGTAAGTCGGTGACAGTTTTCACAATACGGCCTTCTTCCAACTTCATACACAGGTTGACCTAACCCAATCTTGCAACCATTCCCGAAACACCGAAAGCATTCAAAATGATACATTTTATCATTGAATTGAAAGGCATCCTTGGAAACGGATTTTTTACAACCGAAGCAATTGGGACCGGTGACTTCACATTGAGCGTGATAGAATGTATGGCCGTCTGTGGCACACTCACCATTTTGAAAAGGCAGTTGGCATTTGCTGCATAAAAAGCAGGATTTGTGAAACCATGCATATAATCCATCACCCATGGGAATCTTGGTCTTCTTTTGACTGCTGTCACCCAACGGTAAATGACAATGATGACAGGGCTGTCGTGATATACTGGACGGAGAGACGCGTGGGTTTGGTGTGACGACTCTGGTGGTGGTGGTAGTAGTGTTGATGATGTCTTCATCTGTGGCTGGAGAAGGTGTACGTGGTGGTGTGACGACGGCAAATAAGTCGCGATCAATGCGTGGTCGACGACTGTTGCGCGCACTGTTGAGGTATAGTTCGGATGTGCTACTGGATCCAGAAGACGACTGAGATGAATAAGAGTCATAACGTGATGATTTGGAGGGTGAAGGGGTAGCGGGTATTCTACGTGATTTCCCACTTTGAGCATTAAAGCAAGGTTCACAACAAGGTCGTTGTTTGAGGTCAATCAATGGGTTTGCTTCCAATGGTAGTTGACAAGAAAAGCAAGTAAAGCAATGAGCGTGCCAAATGCTGGCAGCATGCTCAATCCAAGCATCATTTTTGGATACGGGTTTTTGACAGGTGGGACTAAATAGATATAAGAGGATTAGTCTATTTTAAACAACACCAAAGAAAGAAAAAAAAAAAAAAGAGAGAGAGTGTATGTCATACCATTCGCCCTTATTGTGTAGTCTAAGATGACATTCTTTGCAATACGATAAATTATCCTCGACATAAGAGGTAGAAAGAGGTTTACTACAACAGCAACATACTTTCTTTTGTACAATGGGTGGTTTATAAAAATTGGATTGGGTGACGGATACAATCTTTGTTGCGGATGAGATGGCTTGTTGCTTTTGAACCAGTTCTTCCGGTGCTAAAATAGTATCAGCATATCTAAGACAAAAATAAATAAAAAAACCTTAATATGTTTTTATTATTTATAGTTGGATATCAAATACTTTACTGTGATTGCCATCGGTCCACAATGGACATACCACCTTCTGAAACGATATTTGAAATTGTAGAAGCTATAAATGTAAAAAAAAAAAAAAAAGAGTAAGGCGTCTGTGCTTTTATTCAATAGGGCCCATAGTTACCAACAGATCTTCCACCACACTTGCTACATTTACCCACCGTAATATCTCCACAACGATGACAAAAACCCATAATAATAATAATAATAATTTAACGAAAATAATGAGAAAAAAAGAAAAAAGAAAGGGAAAAGAGTGGAGTGGTAAAGAAGGCAAGCTTTTTTTTTTATATGTTTCTATCCAATGTCAAAACATTCCTAAAAAAGGCTAACGACTCCCTTAAAAAAACAGAGCCCATTTGGGGTAAGATGTATACAAAAACAAGCCAAAATTGTCTCTTTGTTTTTTTTCTTTATATAAACTTTTTTTTTATTTTATTGTTCCTTGGAAGGCACACCTGTCTCAACAAATTGCTCATCCTCCTCTAAAGGTTCCTCAGGAGCTTCTTCAATCATGGTATTCAAAAAGAATTCAGCAATCTTTTCATGGCTTCTATTCTGTGCCTCGTAAATAGGTGTCAGGTTCATGTTGTTCTTGACCTACGTGTGTGTCAGTTTCTACATATATTTATATACATATGCCCTCCCTTTTCTTACCTTGCAGTCAGCTCCATTCTTTACCAAGAGTTCAACCACTTCCAAATTACCATTTAACGCAGCCCAATGAAGAGGTGTGTTACCTTCTGTGTTCTTTGTATTGATTAAAGCAATTTTCTCGGCACTCTCCAAAGTGTTTAATTGTTCGACAATATACTTGACAATCTCTACATTCGTAACTAATCAGCCTCTCTCTCTCTTTACCCCCCTTTTTTTGCTTACCCAAATGGTTGTTGGCACTGGCCATGTGAAGTGCCGTCTTACCAGACTCGTCCTTTTCTAAATAGAGCTGAGGAGACACCTTCGTCTCTTTTAAATCCTCGAGTTCACCAGCACGGGCAAAATAGATTAAATCGTCGAGTAATTCTTCGTGAGAGGTAGACATGGTTACAACCGAAAAAAGAGAATCTAAACGTCAATTTTTTTTTTTTTTTTTTTTAAAAAAAAGAGGCTTTTTACCCGCCAGCCAGTTTAACACTCCGGCCCTCTGTGTGTATGTGTGTGCTCAGGGTAAGAGAATGGATATTAGAAATGAAGCAATGTGTGTATGCTCAAGTAGAGAAATTCGCATGGGAATGAAGCAATGCGTATGAGAAGATCATGCATGGTAGGTTGATGGATCACCATGGCGGCGGTGGATGGATTCCAAAGATACGTGGATGAATGATTAAGTTACAAGGACAAGGTTTCTTTCGTGTGAATATTCATCGAAGACGGACATAATTTTTAATCTAGCTTATCTCTCTCTCACTCAACACAAACAATAATAATAAAAAAGACGGCAGATTAATTTTTTGGGCATGGAGAATGGGCAACAAAACAAAAAGGGTATATATATAAGTGTGAGTTTTTGTTTTGCTGTGCCCATTCAACGATGATTTTTTAATTTTCCATAGAGATTGTGATTTTGTTTTTAAAAGAGATATGAAATACTCTAATAAAGGGTTCGTTCTCGTCTCACCCTTATTCTTTTCCTCTATAAAGAGAAAAAGAACAAACTATTTATTGCGGCAACAAAAAAAAGGAATTTACTCGTCATCCTCGTTCTCTTCATCATTGGCAATGTTGAAGTAACGGAGCTCGAAGGTTTGCTTATCAGAAGCAATGACACGGAGCCAATCACGGATTTGGTTCTTCTTCAAGAACTTCTTGGTGAGGTACTTGAGGTAACGCTTGGAGAAAGGAATGTTGGTGATAACAGTGATCTTGTTGTCAGCAGAGCGAGAGATAGTGACAGCCTCACCGAGGTTGTTGGTACGACCATCAACCTTGATACGATCGTGAAGGTACTTCTCCTATAAAACAATAATGCTTTAGTTATGATTCATTTTATAACAATAAACAACAACTTACGAAGGCAGCAGCATCAAAGATCTTGTCGTTGGCAGGACCGGAACAGTCAATAACGAACTTGGACTTCTTGGCAGCAGTGGTGGAGGTCTTGACGGGAGCCATTTTTGGTTATGAAGAGAGGGAAGGAAGAATCTCTTTATTTTCCCTTTGACCCTTGTTATTTAAAGTAAAAAAAAAAATTTTTTTTTTTGTACACGCGACTGCTATGTGGCTTATGTACAAAATGGGAAAAATAAATGAATCTGTTCCCGTACCTGGATTTTGTCTGTGTCTCCACTTCTCGAGAGAGAGAGAGATAAAGCGAAACTTGAGGCATTTTAAAAAAAAAACTATTTAATTTTTAATTTTTTTTATCAGCAATATAGATAGAATGTATCGCCTGATAAATCTAATGCAAATGACAGTAACCTATACATGCGCTAATTCATTTATTGGTCTCTTCTAAATCCCATGATTCATGTATTTTATTACAAAAAAAGAAAGAAAAAAAAACCTTAAAAAGAGGTCACTATTTTGACAAGAAATGTAAGATTTGTTTATTTCAACATTGTATAAAATACCCCTTTTTTTATTATTTATTGTTTATTCTTTTTTTTTTTATTTTATTTCTCTCTTCTTTTTTCCGCACACAACAAAAAAAAAAAAAGATTCATGAAACTAGCATTGATATTATACGGTATTAGTCTGTGTTTGATCGTTGCATTCTGGCAATTTTTACGTAAACCCGATGATTTCATCAACGACTGTAGCGATAGTCGACTCGCTTATACCCAAGTGCCGGAAAGCCCATGGTTTGTTTGGACACAAAGTTACCCAGAGATCTGCAGAACACCTCAAAATGCTACCGTAAGAAAACAACATGGTTATTTTCTTCACATTACCGATATGCATGTAAGTTTTTCATTCTTTTTTTTTTTTTAAAGAGGAGTTCATAAATTTTAAAAATATCTCATCTCAGGTGGATGAGGATTACATCGAAGGAGGCACAGTAAAAACTGCCTGCCATGACTTACCAAAGACATCCATCAACAAAAAGAAACGCAAGTCTAAGCCAGTGATACCGGATGTTCTGGCAGGAAAATACGGGACCCCCGGCGAACGATGTGATGCACCCGTCAGATTAGCCAAAGAAACATTGGATTGGATCTCGCAGGAATGGCTTGATAAACTCGACTTTGTTTTATGGACAGGCGACAATTCCAAGTAAAGAAAAAAATGTTCTCAGAACAAGATGAAACAAAAAAGAAATAACTGTTTCTTTTTTTTTTATTTTTATTTTAGGCATGATTGGGACAAGAACAATAAGCGAAAACGTCGACATGTGTATGAGCTTAATCAACATGTCACAGATATGGTCATGGACACTTTTTGGCCAGCTTCTATTCCTGTCATTCCTAGCTTTGGCAATAACGATGTCTTCCCTCATAATCAAATTGGTGGTCCAGATACGGATGCCGACCTCTTATCCTTTTACGAACAAATGTGGCGTCCTTGGATACCCAAAGATCAACGTTCCACATTCCGTCAAGGCGGTTACTATACCATACGTGTCGCCCCTCGTTTAAACGTACTGACATTGAATACCATGTACTTTTATGTACGTAACAAGGCGGTTTCCAACTGCGTTCATCCTACAAGTCCTGCTTATTTACAACTCGTATGGTTTGAAGCCCAATTGGCGCATGCTCGCTCCACTGGAGAACGTATCTACGTGATTGGTCATGTCCCTCCTTCACCGCGTGATTATAAGGGAACGTGTCTCACTGAATACATGCGTATCGCTGCTAATTATACTGATGTCGTGATGGGTCATTTCTTTGCCCATTTAAATATGGACCATTTTCTCATGTTTGACGGTAGACAAGATAGTCTGACCAAACGAAACCAGAAATTGTTTGATATTACGGATTATGACGATGATGAAGAAGTACATGCAACGCGCGACATTGATGCTTATTCAGACTGGTTACGAGACATGTATCAAGATATTGACCCATTGGATGATAAACGAGCTCCTCCCAATACTCAGCCTCCATTAGTCGTAGTTCAGGTTTCACCTTCTGTATTACCTGTCTATAATCCGGCTATCCGCATTTACAAATATGAGATTAATCCCGACGATATACTAGACGACGACGACGATGATGATGAGGATGATGACGATGAAGATGATGACGATGATGAGGATGAATTGAAACCTCATGGTACACTGTTAAACTATGCACAATACTTTGCCAATCTCACAAAATGGAATGGTATGCCATCAGATGCAGCATTGGAATATGAATTGGAGTATACTACGGATACAGCGTATGGTATGGAAGATTTAACTGTGGAATCTTATTTCCAATTAGCCAAATCCATGGTAGAACATACAAAAGAAGGAAATGCACTTTGGACCATGTATCGTGATCATATGTTGGTGAAAACTCAAAACTTTACACAAACACACTTTTAATAAATAAATTTTTTTTTAAATATGAGTCTTTTGTAATTTTTCAACTAATTCTCGTTCTTCAGAGGCATCCAAATGAGTAGTAGGTTCTTGGGCTTCAGCTTCTTCAGCTTCCTTAACAAGTTCTTCCTCCTCTTCCTCTTCCTCTTCTTCTTCTTCATCACTATCGATATCTTCCATTTCATCCAATTCATCTAAAGCATCTTCATGATCCCAAGTAGCTAAAGCTTCCTTCAAGATATCAACCACATCATGATCCTCTTCGAATTTATTTCCGTTCAATTCCAATTTCTCCAAAAGGGATAAATGCTCCTTGATGGCATCTGCCAAGATTTGAACACCGTCTGCTTGAATTTCATTGTACTGCAACAATAACTCCTTTAAGCCCTTATTTCCACCCTTTTGCAGAGCAGTAAAGACATGAACACCACCTCGCTTCGATAACAAACAATCCGAGACGTTCAAGATCTCCAATTGAGGCCAGCTAGGTAAAGCCTGAGCCAAGGCCTTGGAACCCTTCACCGTAAAGGTATTGTCCTGAAGATCCAGGTGACGCAAGTTTTTACAGTCACGCAGTCCGTTGACAATCGTACGAATACCATCGGGTCGAATACCGTTTTGAGGCATACGCACCACTTCCAATGTACCGTGAGAGGAAAAGGCACGAGCCAGGGCCTCTGAAGAACCATCCTCCAAACGATTACGACCACAAATAATGGTGCGCAAAGAAGAGGCGCGACCCTCTGCCTTGGCTTTATCAGCAGAAGCCTGTAACGCTTGCGCAATCATGGCTCCGCCACCCAAACCAAGTCCGTTATTGTTTAAACGCAACGTTTGTAAAGTCGACGTGTTCGAGAGGAAATCAATAAGTGGTTGTGCTCCCGCAGGTCCAAACGCATTGTCCGATAAATCCAACTCGCGAAGTTCTACTTGTTCAAAGGCGTCACAGAGAGCTTTCAACGCAAGAGGAATCTCTGCTAACAAGCGACCCGTAAAGATGTCCGATAACAGCGCTTGCTGCATGGGGTGGGATTAGTTTATTATAAATAACAACAACAAAAAGTTTCAACCGCATTTACCTTCAAGTGCTTCTTGGTCTTCAAGGCTTCGGCCAAGGCTTGACTGGCTTCGACACCAAGCGTGTTACCACTCAACTCGATCACTCGAAGATCAGGCATTTGGTTGAGCGTCTCGACAAATTCTTTGACATCACCGGCCGTGTTTAATTTTAAACCTTTGCCAGCAATGGAAAAAACCGTATTGTTCTCAAGTGCATATTGGTTAATGGGTACAGCCATTTTTTTATTTTTTATTATTTATTATATTTGTCAAAAGAAAAAAAAAATTTATAGGTAAAGAGGAGAGAGCGAGAGAGAGAGAGGTCGGTTGAGAGAAGAAGGATCACGTGAGTGATTTTTTTAATGAGCGCCACCAGCTCTTTCTCTCTGGCTGCTGCTGCTGTTGTTGCTTGTTAATGATTAAGGCAGAAGACCGCTTTCGATGGATGTCTTGTGGAACGGAGGCATTCTTTCGCAAGATCCTTTCATTAAAGAAAGCAGAGGATTTTTTTAATATACTTTTTTCTTTTGGTTCTCGTTGTTGTAGTTGTTGCAGATGTTGCTGCAGGGGAGAGATGTCATGCTGCTGCTGCTGCTGTTGCTTCGATGATGATGATGATATGACTACTGCTTCTTGCGCAGCTGCTATGGCAGCAGCAGACGTACTTGGACTCTGATGCTGTTTAATAACGTGGTCATGACTTTCAATGGTGTCGAGTGTTGAGAACATGGATACTTTTTCTTCATTGTTTGTGATCAGACTATTGGAATAGCTTTCCGTCATCAATGTGATATCATCCTGCTTATGAAAAGAATTCTAAAATAGATTTTTTTAAATTAAAATGTAGATACAAAAGCAAGTGATAAAGTACCTTGTCGCTGTTGGGGATGCGCGGTATAAAATCAAACTTCTTTAGTAGATCATTTTCAAATGTGTTGTCGTTTTCAAACGACCAAGGATTGAAATCGGTTGTCGTTGCCATGATACAGTAATTAAAAAAAAAAAAAAGTAAGTAGAAAAGAGAGAGAAAAAAAAAAGAGAAAAAAAAGAAAAGGAAAACGATATTTAAATATATAATGCAAGGAGTCTATTGTCTATCTCTTTCTCTTTTGTTGTATATAAACTGGGTAAAAAAAAAAAAAAAAAAAAAAAAAAAAACTCCCTTTTTTTATATATGTATATGTATATTTAGATAGCTATCGATCGATATATATATAAAAGAAGTTTATTGTCGCAAGGCCTTCAATCGCTCAGTCAACAATCTATCTTCATCCTTCTCTTTTGCCTTTGAGGGCTCATTTAATACTTTGCTTGGTTCTAATTCATTTAATGTATCATTTAATTCTAAACCGTGCTCATCAGCCACCTGATGCATCAGTGAGTCGACTTCATCTTGAGGTGTGTTTAACGTGGTGGTGCCTGCCATGGCTCCCTCCATATATCCCGTTTGTACATCAAGGTCTTCAAACTGCGTCTCAAACTTGTCCATCACCATCGAAATCTATAAATAAGATGGGTTAGTGCGCATGTCTCATACAACAAAATAGAAGGAATGTCACACCTGCTCCAGGTTCATGGTGTCCATGGCTCTACCCATGCCACGCACCACCATGGCCATAGAATTCGACACTTTGCGCATGGTAATAGCGGTTTGGACGCGACTGGCAACAGCGTCAATACGAGAAGACAACTTTAAGAGATTTAAGGCTTCATTCTTCTTTCGAATGGCGTTGGAAGCATAAATACGAGCTCCCTCCATATTTCCATCGGAAATGGCCTTTTTTAACTTGTTCTTTTCCAAAGTTTCATCTTTTTGACATCGCTTGGATTGTTTGTTTAATTGCTTGGCGGTGAACTATAATCTTATTGTCAGTGATATATGCATCGATACACCATGGGTGCCTCTCCTTTTATACCTTTAATTGAAAAAGTTGGTCTATTATACAGCAGTTTTAAAAAGAGCCTATTAGTTTTTTTGTGTTTCTATTTTTGTCATACACCCGTTTATATAAAGTTACTTTCTAAACCGTTCATTTTGTTATAATTAGAATAAAAAGATGGAAAAAGCAAAAAAGCCAAAAAAAAAAAAAAAAAAAAATTAAACCACAATAAAATTAAAATTGAGTAGTGTGTGTGTGTGTGGGCTTGGGATAATGTAGGTGTCACCAATAAGTGATGTAATTGCTTTGAAACAAGATAGTTTCAAGGGCAACAACAACTCGGTTTGTATTTCGGTCCGACCTGCTTTAAACACGATAGATTGAAACCTCTCTCTCTCTCTTTGTTTTGGCCCTACACACACCAACACGAAACAACAGGAAGATAAGAACCGGGCCCGTCGTTCCTTTTTTTTTCTTCTTCTTTCTCTTTCTCTTTCTCTTTCTTTTCTCTCTCTCTCCACACGCACACACTATGGATCGATTAAGATGGATTCCTCTGCCCAGGACACAAAGCACACTGTCGGATTTCATGCGACAGACAGATAATGCATCGTTTGATAGAGACTGGAAACAGTTGCGTTTTGCTCCTTGGCGATTTTTCTATCTGGATTATCATCACCACCTACAACAAGAGGGCCAAACTATGGAGCAATGGCTTGTATCTGAATGGATCAAAGTAAAAAAAAAGTACAAGAGAAAGGCATAAATCATTACTCACACTGTCAGAAATAAAATATATATATATATATATATAGGTCTACGAGTTTTACATGTTAAAGAAGGGTGAAATTGAGCGTCGAGTATCGGGAGGCGACCCTAAAGAAATACCCACCTTACAGAGCGACATTCAACAACTGTACCATTTTAGCAAATTAAATTATTGTGGCTTTTTACGTTTATTCATGCAATACCATCGGCTCTTCGGATCAGGTCCTCCACCCACAGACGCCCTGCGTCGATTGATGATGGACAGACCTTTTTGGGATACCTCTTCACACTTCTTTTCAATGCTCGTACCTTTCAATCGGCTTTGCATCCATTCCACCGCGCTCCCCAGCTGTGATTCTTCCAAGAGATCACTCGACACCATCGTCACTGCAACACATGAGTCCTCCGTGAAAAAGTATTGGCTACATTCAGATCATGTTATCGAACTCTATCTGCTCTTATCCACACACGGATTACAGATTCAAGACAATAACGCCATCAATACCGCTACAGATGAAATAGGCCATCCACAGGGCTTCAAATCAACGAATGACATACATCCGTCATCAATCGTTCCTCATTCAGGTCGACTGAAAATATCCACAACGTACCTGGATTCACCAGATTTGAACGATTACACCGACCGATTAGTAGGTCAATCAGATACATTGTCGTGCACAAAGTCCATACGTACAAGGACCTATGATAATGTACCTTATGCTTCGTTAGAACAAAAGATGTACTATCATCAACAACACCATCGAAAAAAGAAGGGTAAAGAACCTGAATGTTGTGGTACCTTAACTACCTTGGCTTGGATACAACAACGTGTTTGGTTGAAACAAAAACATCTTGCTTCCTTGTTCCGTGCTGAGTACTCGCTTTCCAATTTACTAGATAAACCTTCCTGTCTTTATCGAACCGATGGTCTCTTAGTGACCGAAAAGGACGTTTGTCGCATGAAGCAAACGTCTTTACATATGCAAGAACAGGTCCATCACAAGATTAAAATCCCTGGTAGAACTCTTTTTTTATTTATTTCCCTCATTTTATTTACACATAAAAAGACTCACATCCCCCTCCCCATTTTTCTTAGTATTAAAAACAAGTCAGTATCGAACCGTGTTTGCCAACAAGGATATCACAGTGACGATTGACACAGACATTTCATTTACACGTCCACACCAACCCGAATCCAATCGATTTCCTTATTGCGTAGTACAAATTCAGCACAGTCAAACCCCAACTTGGTTATCGGAACTAGAAGCATCACGTCTTTTAGAACCCGTGCATGATTTCTCTCTTTATCTCCATGGTATCAGTATTCTTCATCGTGTTCACGTGTACCCACCTTGGCAATCGAAATTCACTTCATCCGATATTCGATATCCACGTCATCGAGGCAGTCTTTTATCCCTCAACAAAACAAAGGATCAGGTGACCAACGCCACCACACCTCCTGTCAGTTGGAGTTCGGATACCATTGTCACATTGGACGAGGATACGCTTTCTTCTTCCTCTTCCACATGTTCCTCTTTACTCAGTCCAACAGTGAACAAACAAGGTCAATTACGTCGTTCGTTTGATTCTTATTGCAGTTTTGATCATCCCACCTCTTCCAAATCTGACCCGACCAATTGCAAGAGCTGTCAAACCAAGCTTAACCCTCATCCGCCATTCTATGGTACCTCTCATCCTAAAAAACCGACAAACCGTACATCCGCCAGAGGAGATATTACCTTTTTCTCCGTTCTCAAGAACGCATGTTTATCTACCTTCCACAAGAAGGGTGAAAAAACCTCGTTGTTACCCCAATATCATACACACACTGGCATTTCACGTCCTACCATCATCACTTTGACCTGTGTATTTACCTCCTTTGTGATTTCATATTTACTTTATCTATTCATCCTTAAAATCAAATAATAAAAAACAATATATATATTATCTATCCTATACGTGCTTTGACAAGTCGTTCCAATTCAAATACATGATCGTCTCGTACACCGGGACTGATCTCGCGTAAAGCCTCTGCCAAATTTAAAAGATACTCGGCGTTCCATCCACTGGGTCCGTACGTCTCATGAATTTGTTTCGCAATCGCTTCAGCGGGTGCAGGTCCTACATACGCTTCATTATCCGTCGTTGCAATATACACCAAAGCCTACAAGATCCGTATTAGTTTTTTCTCTCTCTTTCCTTTTTAGGATATTCTCTTTTTTTTTTTTTACATTTTTCACAGCAGGTGTTTCATCATCTTCTAAACTATACACATCCACCGTATGCACCGTATACCCATTTTTCTCTCGATGATCTAAATAAGCACGCGTGGCCTCTACATCATCCGTTGGAATCTTAAAAGCAACACCCCAAGTGACCTTATCATGTCCTTCCTAATGCCGTGGGCCCATGTTGAATATTTTATGCATTCCAAAGAAAGAGGAGGAGGGGTTACAACTTACAATACTCTCAATATTTTTCCATTCGTCAAAAGGAATCAATGTCACCACTCGACCAGGTTTTTCAGGTGTGCCTCGATGGTCCTCACTATGCTGTCCACAACGTCAAACTTTCCCTTGTTTTCATTCTCATGTTTTTTGTCTGCTTACCTGCCAAAAGCGTCTGACATAGTTTTTAATGTAACCAATTTGTCTATTAAAAAATAAGCAGGAATGAATAGTTTGTTTATGGTTGTCAAGTGAGTACAAGAGAGTATTACTTGGACTCGTAATGAATGGGAGGTTTCCAAATTAAAGAACCATAACCAAAGACCCAAATGCCTTCAGAGGATGGTGTATCTAATGTTTCGGGTGCCATTCTATAAGAAAAGAGCGAGGGAGAAACTATCTGGGGGGAGTGGAGGGACTACAGTGTGTACACTTCAAATTCAGACAATATCAGTTTTTTTTTTCAGACGAATCAAAATTCACTTTTAGACATTCGCTTACCTTTTTCAGACGATATACACTATTTTTTAAATTATTCGTGCAGAGCAAGGAGGAAATTCGTTCATGTTCACAAAAAAAAAATTCGATCAAAAATAAAAGAAAAATTAGTTTGATAATAATTGAACGAAATAAACGAAAATAAAATATTTTATAATCCATACAGTCATTATATGCATTTAAGATGTTGTATCTGGATTAAAATTACGTTTTGACTTCATAAACTAAACTAATAGACGCTCTTCTTCACTATAATAACAAAACCCAAAACTTTAAAGGGTAGTTGTCATTCTTCAAAATTAGGGTGTAAAAGGCTCGTTTTATTAATTTTATCTTTTTATCTCATTTATATTGTATTTGAGTAAGACACAGTGTATCTGTTACCACCTACGAACACATGTACTCTTCAATTACTCTACCAGTGTAAGGGAACACACTACTGGTATTCGTTCTTAATGTTTTATGTACACTCCGGCCCGGAAAAAAAGTACCATATTACAAAGGGAAATCGTTTAATGTTCAAAAAAAAAAAAAAAAAAAGAGAGATATAGACGATCTTCTCCTTTTGATTAAACTTCTTTCTCTTTCAGCTTTTAATCCTCTCCTAATTTTTAGGTAATCTTTATATGCTATTTTAATAGCAACCTTTCTTATATTGCCATTTTATAGTGTATCATGGATGAGGCATCTCTCCCGACAAAGACCGGATTATCGCAGTAAGTCGTCAATTACTGGCATCGGTTGGAAGCAGTCGTCTTTGACAACATTACACAATTTTGTTAGAGTTGTTCATACTACTACAAAGCATGCATATTATTTTTCCAAGTATATATTCCTCAATGAATTGCAAGCAGAC